TGCATAGGGACAAACTATCCTAAAGGGTAGAAATGGGGACAGATTTTACTTGCATTGCTTAACATCTCTGCCTTCTCATTTTTTAGTATCTTTGCCACACTATCTGTTCAGGCAGGCTGCAGGAAAACTTGGACTGACATGGGCAAAAGGGGTTGCATGCTCACTGGTGAGGAGCTGTAGCAGTTCACAGGGCAAGATACCCCTAATTCAGGATTTTGCTATAATTATCCAACTTAAGCATAAGATGATAATGGGTTTAAACTTAAACAGGGTAAGTTTAGATTAGATATAAGGAAGAAGTTCTTTATAGTGAGGGTGGTGAGGCATTGGAGTGTGTTGCCCAAGGAAGTTGTGAATGCTCCATCCCTGGCGGTGTTCAAGGCCAGGTTGGACAGAGCCTTGGGTGACGTAGTTTAGTGTGTGGTGTCCCTGCTCATGGCAGGGGGGTTGGAACTAGATGATCTTAAGGTCCTTTCCAACCCTGACTATTCTATGATTCTATGAAGGTTAAGTCAGAAACTGACCATTATAATAATGATTCATTTATTTTAATTGACTCTGGAGTCATTCTGATTTTTTTTTTTTTTTGTAGGTTGTTACCACATTTTTAGCTCCTCAAATCAATAGACTTCTGATTAAACATCTGTATATTCTGTATTGCTCTTGGAAGTCATCAGAAAGGCGAGAGGTTTCATGAAGGAAGCAGAACTTACTGAAGTGAGGGTACATCGACTGTGTGCCATATGCATTGGCAGAAAATTTGCCTTGCATCATGCTAACCACAGCATGAACACTGGCTGTGTGCCTTGCGGAGCCAGGAATGTTGAACTTCTGTCTGCTGTACCATTTGACTGTCTCTGGATCTGGGGTGACTTGTGTGTGTATGTGCTGCAGGCCTCTGTCACAGGCATTGTCACAAGCTGACATTGTCTCATAGGACATGATCTTTAGCCTAATTTCTCCCAAGCTTTACACTGGCCAGGTTCAATTTTAGAGCAGAAAGGGGTAAACGTGCTGCTCATGCTGATGGCTGGCATATGTTGGAAGAGCAGTCTTATTTAATCTTCATCTTAACACTAAAGCATTCCCTGGTAACTGACAAGTGTGGAAGTTTGATTTGCTGTGGTGGGCAATTGGTGCCTGTTTTTGAGAGAAGAGAGAGGGGCTCTAATAGCTACAGGAAGCAGATAGCTCTTCACAAACCACCCTTGATAGTCTAAACCGAACTGTTGTTGGTAATGGTGCTAATTTCAGCTCTTGGGGAAGTCTTAATTTTTCATATAGGTTCAGAATATTTTTAGGAAAAAGTGGAGATTTTTTTTTTTTTTTTTCAGCTCCTGTCTCACTGCTACAGATAGCAATAGAAAAGAGAGTCAATAGCAGTCCTTCAGTGTGTGTTTCCAAGAGCAGAGTAAAAGAAGATAGATGTGATGATTATGTTTATCCTTCTGGTGGTCTTATTTCTCCCATATACTGAAAATACATTCCTGTAGCATGGTATATTTTATTGCAGCAGCTGCTATATAGAAGTTTAGATGTCAAAACCAAGAGGATTTCAGTCTCAGCACTACAGAGAGGCAGTGACAGTAAATTTCTTGTCCAAAATTACATGTACTCTAAAGAAAATGTTGACCATTTGTCCTGACCCTATGCAGAACCAGTCTTATACTTTGTAGCTTTAAGTGCTTCTCTCTTCACAGGTTTTGTAAACTGTTGAAAATAAGTTTCCCAAAAGTACAAGATAACATTTGCACCCTCCCCACCATGTGCCACTTGTTACTGGCATGTTTTATCCACTTGGGACACTGTTAAAGAGTGCTAAGCAATTGCTCTTCCTAGAGCCATCCAGTGGTGGTGCCATCTAGTTTCACTACATCACCTCTTAACTTCCTTGCTGAGGTTAGAACAGTCCTCAAAACTCCATACCACTTTTCAGGTACCATCAAGTACTTGGAAAAAAGCTATTTTCATTCAAACACCTTAAATTTTGTTAAATGATTTGAGGTGGCTTACATTATGTTGGTAGGAACTTAAGTCCATGTGTACAAAATACCCCTAGATGTTAGCATATAGAAATAAACATTCTGTCGTGATAAGAAGAGGTCCCCGAGACTGAGAAGATCAGAGTTCTATTTTTGTCTCCACCAGAATTACCATGAACTTCAGTAGATCAAAGAGTTGAATTGATTTGATTAAATGGAATAGAATTTGTGTGTCTGAGTTGTGCTTTTCCTGGGCAAGAATTTAGCTGGTTTTCTTACTAGATCTGTATTTCTGTGGATTTCTTTTCTAGATCTATATGCATAAAAAACTGTTCATGGTTTTATTATTGTGGAATAAATTAATTTGGAGATATTATCATGGGACATTTATTTGATTCTCATTAAGAAGATCAAAACACACTTTTGAGCCATAGACATGGATTCTTAGTATGAAAAAATGTTCCTCCTGGTTACGAAGTCATGTTTTTGGAGCCTGAGATTCTACTTCTGGTGCATATTAGCTACATTTTGTGAGAACAAACCAATTTGTCTGATTACTCCAAATTCCTTCCACAGATAGAACTCTCTACAATTCCCTACTGATAGTAGTCTTTTCAGTATTATTCCCATATTCATGTGTTTACTCCAGTTATATCTTTTACGGGAATACTACTGCAAGAGTTCTGTTTATAGAATATTTTATTATTCAAGAGGTTTTAGCTTATCAATATAGTTTGATTGTTAGTTTAGTTAGTAGCTTACTGGAGTCTCTCTTTGTTTATATTGCATATATTGCAGGAAGACCTGAAAGCCTTAAGCAGTACTCTGATCCTGTAGTGGGGGATATGCTACAGACTGAAAGAAATTAAATCTCGGATGAAGAAAGCTTAAAGTAACTAAGATCTAGGAAGTAAGTAGGTGTAAAAAAGGAGAATAAAAGAGTGAAAATGAGCCAGGGTTTCAGGTATAACAAAGTAAGATGTGATCTGTCTAAAATCCCATGTAACTGAGGATGTTGGTGGCAAAAATGCATGTGAGTGCAAAGCAGAAACTCAAACCATCTCCTTTTCACTTGTGCTCCAAGTCTCAAACACTTGACGCTCCTGAAAAGTGCTGGTCCAAGGGTGATAGGTCATGTGTCATCTGCCAGATACCTTGCTGTAGCCTGATGTGGAGGGTCAGCCCTGGAGCTTCTCTTGGATATGAGCCAGATAAACATCAGCACAGCCTGTTGAACATTACCTGCCTGTCATCAGTAGTGTTTTCCTGCAAACATCTCATTAGCGAGATGTCTACTAAGGGGGGTGGCATGATGGTCACTCTGCAGGTCAGTGTGGTAAAGGGATTCTGTTTCTTTACCAGATACACAGGAAAAAAGATGGTAAGGTGAATAGGCAGTGGAGGTGGCTGCTGTCACTGCAGCAAGTGAAAGGAAGAAGTGGTATGTAGAAGAGACAAAATAATGAGACTGAAAGAAATTGAAGGGGAAAAAAAAGTGTAATGCTTTTAACGGAAGATATGCCACTGGGATTCTCCTCGCAGAGTGAAGCCACAAGCCTGCTAAATAGACTCAGTCTGTTGGATGAGGTGTTGCATTCCTCTGTAGTGCTGCAGTTGCTGGTGATGTGCTACATTAAGTGCTTTGGGGTCCAACAGCAGCACAGAGAAGATTTTGAGGAGGAACAAGTGATTTCCAGTGACCAGGTTGAGATCAGATCTCTTTCCATGTGAGCAGCCACACTCTGACAAACAGGCTCCTATGCTCTTAAGGAGAGCATCTCAGAACAGAGGCATCCATACTTCGTAGTTGCTTTCAAAAATAGTTTGTATGCCTTGTAGAAAATGGAACAGGGTTTCCTCATCAAAACACAGAACTACCAGCAGATTCTATGTGTTTTCTTGACTTTTGCCTGATGTTGATTTTTTTTTTCCATATTTGAAAAAGAAAATCCAAGAGCTTTTAATGTCAGATGTCTAAAATAATTGTGCTATGCATCATGCAAGTGACTGCTGGCTATTGAAAAAGCAGTAATTGTAATGCCTTTCCCTCTCTGCAGTAAATGGACATAAATATTCACACGGCTGGGCACTCCAGGCTCTGTAGATTATTTGTACATTTGCTGGTAGGGAATAGAAATAGTCAAGTGTTGTTGTTATAAAGATAAAGCACTGTAAATCTTCATAGTCTTTTAACCAACAGTAGTGCAGTAATATGGCATAGGTGAATTTGGCAAGGCTCTAATAGGTAAGTTTCTCTGCAGTCTAGAGCGGCAGTGAGAATTTAAGGGATGTTTGAATTGTTTTTCTAATTTTGCATACAAATATTGACATTGTGCAATACTGAATACATTGGTGTATGTGCAATAGGGGTTACTTTGCTATCTGTGTGGCTTCTGTGAAACTAAGGGGCAGATTTTTTGAGTATAGTCTGCTGGATTTTATTTGAAAGGTGTGTCTTTTATTTGCAGAAGAGGCAAAAATTAATTTTAATTGTATTCCTTTATTGTTTGGTTATACTTAAAGTTCCCATTAGTTTTGGAGCACTAGTGAGCAGTTCAGGTTTGTTCTCTTTTTTAATTAATATTATTATTTGATAACCATATCTTTCTTCTTGGAAGTAGGAAATTGCCTTACCCTCAGACCAGAGTTCTAGTCTGATGTAGCAAGGTGCAGACCAGGTATTGAGCCTAAGCCCCCTATTTCCCACTCTTTTCCTAGTCATTGAAGAAAGATGAGCTCTTCTGGAGTCATTTGTCTCTGGAACCAGTCTCAGGATGCCAGGGATTTCACACTAACCATATCTGCATTTGATTGAGAGAGTCAAAATTGATTATGTTTATCTAGGTACCAAACCATGGCTAAAAGGAGGTGGGAGAAACACCCTCATGAGTGAGCCAATTCTAGGTGTCATGTCAGTGGGTTGGCAGGGTATTTATGAAAAAAACCCAGCATTTGACAGAATGGAGTGTGATACCGTGGGATGTCCTGTGGATTTACAGTCTCAATTTCCAATTTCAGGGAGGAGAACATTGCTATTATCAGGGAGAAATTCGAGGAAATCCTGTATCGTTTGTTGCCTTGTCAACATGCCATGGATTACAGTAAGTCTGCTGTTTTATTTTTACTGGCCTCAGCTTATTAGCCTTTTAAGCAAAATAAAGCTGTTTATAGTAAAATAAGTGCTATTTTTTTTCCTACTAGTGTGTCACCAATATTAAGTACTCTACAATCTTTATAAAAAATGGGTTTAATTTGAACCTTGCAAAAGGCTTCTTCCTTTGCTTTCAGGATTCACTGACAAAGCACACAAGTTCCTTTATTTTTTTATTTTTTTTTAACTGAAGACATATCACAGTGGCCAGGTATTGTTTTAAGATAATTTGTTATAGAGAAAGAAGAGTAAATACAGTTGAAAACATCCTATTCTACAAGAATAAACCCCAGTGCCAGTATTGACATGAACCATGGAAAGTATGCTCTTTTCTTGTTGCTACAGTGATGTATTTTATGTTTCTTAGCTACTCTTTACAAATGAAAGTGTCTGTTTAGCATTTCTCTTGACCTATCCATTTTCCTCAGAGAATTGCTGTCCTTAAGCTGTGTGCATGGGATAATACCTTTGATACAGTAAAATCTTGGAAAATGTGGAAAAAAGGATATAAAATTGTGCAATATATTTTTTTTAAGTAGATAATTTTAGTAATAATGTAATTAAAGCATCTGTCATCTGAAGGTTACATGAAGCTGTGTGTTGATTGTTCAGCTTTTGGACTTGTCTATTTTTGGCACTATTGAAAGATGCTGGTCAGGTTTTCAGAGAAACCAAGTAACTTCAGTGTCTGTTGAGTCTGGGAATTATAGGATCTCAGCACTTTTGATACTGAGATCAGCTTTAAAAGTGGGCCTATGTGGACATTACCTGAGCTTTGCCTTTTTGTGAGGAAGCAGGGCTTAGCTGATATAAAACTTCTTCAGCTAACTGTCTGTCAACTATTCTGTAGGTTTGGTGTCAGCCATATAAATACACATATTTAAGTAGTGTCTTTCTTTTCTGTGTGTATTTTATTTGTTGGAAAGGGGGAGAATGCATGCAGAAGACTTGTCATCCTTGCACTAGTCTGATTTACAGCTGTTATGGTCAAGGTTGAACAGCTCAAGAAACCCAAGCCCAGTTTCAGTGTGGACAGCGAGTCTAAAAATAGTAGCATCCTAATGCATCCTGAGCCACTGCATGGCTTTCATTAGCAGTGATCCATTAGGTCTTGGCCCCTGCTAACTCCTGAGAGAAAAAGAAAAGCAGAAAGGAAGGAGAGCCTGCATATGTCCTTTCCTGCCCTTCTTTTGTGGGCTTGTTCTTAAGACTGACCCTCCTGCTGTTCCATGTTCTTAAATTGCCTGATATTCAAATTGATCCCTTCTAACACAGTTAAGTGATGAAAGATGCTTTTTTTTTTTTACCTGTATAATTCAGCTCTCCCTTCATACAGTATGAGAAAGTGATATTTTGCTGAGCTGTATTAAATTCATGCTTTCTGACAGTGCATTTCCATCATTACAACTAGGTCCTCCACAGTTGATTTTATATGCTAAGTAATTACTAGAAGCTCATACCAGCAATCAGAGCTCCTTAGCTCCAACCACAGTCTGCAGGGCAGGAGCTTTGCTTTCATGAGTTTTAGGAAGTGCCTAAGACTGAACAGATTCCTTCAATAGAATAACAAGCTTCATATTCCCAAAGTTCATGCTAATCTCCTTTCTTATTAGTACCTCTCAATCTTGGCTATAACAGCAGGATTTTTCATATATGTGAGAGTGTGTTGTGGTTTTTTAATCATATATTGTGAGTTTTTCTGTTGATAATGTCTATGTTTTTCCTTTTATAAATTAAATTAATCAGGTGACTAGCTGTTAGAATACTTAAAATTATGGGTTTTTTTTCTTCTTAATGACTTTGCAAATGAGAAATGTATCTCTGCAACCTTAAATCCAAGCAAGCCATTTTGTTTGCATTTATTTTTTATTTTCTGTGGGATATGCAGTAACCACGGTTTCCTATGAGTTAACACAAAAAACTTTGAATGCAAAACACCCTGGTTGCTGGGATATAAATAAGCTATAGTCAGGCACGACTTGCAGTCCTGTGCTTCAAGGCGAGTGGCACAGACACCAGCTTTTGGTTTATGATTTTGCTGCCTACTGGTGGTGAATATAGAAACTGCTGTTATTACTGCAAATTAGACTTTCCTGACTACAAATTTATTTGTTTGAAGAATATACATAATCAAAATTCAGGGTTTTGAAATGGCCTGTGTTTTGCTGTTGCTTTCTCTCTAATACATTTGTGAGCATGTGGTTTGTTCACAGAGCACAAGACTGTTGAAGTCGGTTACAAAAGAATCATGAATGCTTTGAGTGGGCAAGTCAGATCTGTAGGTCTGCTATGACTGTTATTCTTGTCACCCTTGAGTGACTTGATCAGAGGTTAGTGCTGCTGGGTGCAAGTCGCGTGAGAAGCCAGTTGCTGGTAGTGCTTTGTTGTGCAGACTGTGCTTAAATGAACTTGCAATTAGAGGGAAGAAAGTTTTGCCTCATTAAGAGCAGCAGGATGTTCCCAAATCTCATTTTATTCCCAGGCAAAGAAGCTTTAGCAGGTGCTAAAATATTTCTCTTGAGCTGTGTAGACAATATGTTATTTCTAAAGAATAAGCACAGGTAATTTGAAGGTGAAACAGCTTTCAATTGTAGATGTGATCACGCTTGATGTACGTTATACAGTCAGTATCCCAAGCTACTTCTGTGAATCCTACACAGTTAACCCCATAAGTGAATGATATTGAGAGAAATATGCTCTCAATACCTGTAATGGTTTACAAGCTTAATATATGTGTATATTTCTTAATAATCACAGTATTTTGTTGACCGCATCTGGTCCTTTGCAGAATCAAAATCAATTATTCTGATTACAAACAAAAAAAAAAAAAAGGAAAAGCTGCAGAAGAACAAAGAAAAGCATGTGGTTTTGCTGTTTTTAGTTCCAGTGGTGTTTTTTTGATGCCTGAAAGTTTGCTAAAGAGTAATATAAATAAATAATCTTGCTTCCATGCAGCTGTAATGTACTATGTGCCAAGTTTACTTAAGCTCATATTTACTGCCGAGCTTAGAGCCCTTAGTAGTTGCACTTCAATGGGGACATGCTGATATAGCCTAATTCCAACCATGCATGTATGAGATGTCACTGAAATGAAGGCAAATATATTAAAAATAAATGCTGATTTGGTTGAAGATAAGAATGGTGATGATACAAGAAATGCCATTTGGTCTTACACTGTTTACAGACTAATGTCCATATCAACACTTTCTTTTAAGGTGCAATTCAACCATGCTTGTGCTTCCTGCATGATGTCGAAGACTAAACTTCATTACACTCTTTACCTAAGTAAACTTACAGTAACTCTTAATAGAAAATATTCTTGCAGGAATAGAGCTTACCTTTTCTGCACATTCAAGTGGTAATGCAAAACCGTCTGGTGTTACTGTCACAGACTATCTTCATCCATTTAAATGTCCTTAACAAACTGTTAAGGCTCTCTAAACCCTGGATTTAGAGTTCAACTGTGTTTTGGAATTCAATATGGTCAACTAGTGATTGTGTGTCTGCAAGCAAAGTGACAGATTTTCTGAGATACAGAGCAGTGTGTTTGTCATAAATGACCTTCAAATTTCTGTGGTTGAGAAGACTTTTTGCCAGTAAGGAAGAGACTATGAGTACTTTGCCAGAACCATGGGTATGGTAGACGGCTTGGTTTGCTGTATCTTTCTTCACCACAACCTATCAAAAGCCTGTCTGATGGGGTTTCCTATCTCCTTATCATGAATATTATATAATGTCCATATTGATAGGATATTGCATATAGCCATTAATGTTTTCTAGAAATATAAACTTAAACTAACTCAATTTAAAATGAAAATACCATCTGTCATAATTATTATTGCTGAACTGCCCAAACCAGCCCTCTGTGTCCAAAGGAGCCCATTATGTTTGTTGTATTTGGTACTATATGAAATACTGAGGAGTTAATCAAAACCATTAAAACTGAAGGATCAGTTCAATTCAGTAATATTTTATTTGAGGGGAGGCTGTTCACATGTTCCAAATATGTGTGTTCCTAAAGAGAGGTTTGTTATTTATCTGTTGCAGGTAGGTCTCTCTTGCATGGGAATGGCGGCTCTGAACTGGATTTTCAGTTGGCTAGATTAGCCAGTTTTGGTGGTGTTTAGATGTGTTGTAGACACTCTCTGGGGAAGACAGAAGAGTGTCTATCAGCACTTGATAGAATATCTTTCTGAAGTAAAGAGACAAAAGATTGACTCAGAATTACACTCAGTTTCTAAAACCATTTTAACTGCTTCCTTTCATAAATATTTAAATTTTTAAAATATATGAACCTTTAAACTTACTTCCATGTTGCACTAGTATTTATTTATTAAACCAGTATTTGCATTTCCTGCTCTTTACAGTGGGATGTTCTATGATGGAAATCATACTTACCTAATTGAGCCAGATGAAAACTACACTTCAGATGTAAGTAGAACTTACCATAGTCCTGCTGTGTTGTTTGTTAAATACAGATATTCATGGGTCCAGGGTAGGCATAAGGCTCTGGTACCAGTCTCCTCATTCCCAACTCGTTTACCTCACATGTGAGTCCCCATCATCACAGACAAAAGAACACCTCTAAAAATTAGGTGGTGGTAAGTATGTATGTGTGTACTCTGTAACACCTGGATATGCAGTGCAGCACCAGTGGGTGCTGAGGGTCCATTGGAGCCAGCAGAAGAAGCTTGTGAGTGCCCTGTCCCAGTCTTGTGGCACTTCCTGCTCTGAATTCGTTACATCACACTCCTGCTGGTTCATCCTCAACTGCAGTTCAGCAGCTGCTGTGACTCTCATTGATGTTCATTGGGCAGCTCTCTTAAACCTTGCTCAAAGCATGCTCAGTCACTCCTTTGGATGTACTCAGATATTTCAAATAAAAGATGATTAACTGTTGTATTAGCGATCACATCACAGTTGGGAAGAGGAGAAGAGTGATTTGCAACTTGCATGGTCACTAGTGTAGGTGTTGCATAACAAGGACCTTTGGAACTGTTTATTTAATGCTCATAAGATGTATTAGTTTATCCAGGTTTAACATATGCAATTATTTACTATTTCAGGATGACTTCCATTTCCACTCTGTTTACAAATCCAAGTTGTTTGAGTTTCCTTCAGATGACCTGGCATCTGGTATGATTCTTTTAATATTCATGACTTATGGACTTGTTCTAGTCTAAGGCCAAATTTGTTAATTGTATTTGATAGAGAATTTTCTGATAATATATTGTTTATTTGCATATGTCTTTTTTTTTTTTCCTGATTCAATAAAAAAGCACTGAAAAAAAAAAATCCAAAACACTGAAAACGCTGGAAAAGAACACGAAGTACTGAAAAAACCTGAATCCAATGAATGAAACCTCTACTAGACCTTCATTTTGTGTTGTGTTTCCCTTAACAAGTCATACAGACTGTAGAATGCATTATATGCTAGTATTTGTAGACAGGAGAGGACTGAGGTAGCCTAAAGATGATGCAAATAAACCCCAGTTTGCCAGTAGTTTATAACTCTTCATGGAATTTTCTTATTTTAAGATAGAGGGTGAGTACCATGGTGTGACAGGAACTTGCCATTGCTATGCAGTGACTCTCAAATCTCCAGTCTGTTCAGCATCTTTCACAGTACTGGCTGAGGTGTAGGTCATGCATTTCAGTACAGATAAATTTGGATGCAAAAGTGATTTCAAGTGCTGGTAGTGATCAATCCCACAAACAGTTTATATTGTGTATGGAGGGAGAAGAGGGTTTTAAAAAAATGAGTTTTCATCTGAGAAGTTGGCTTGTTAAATTGAAGTTAAAATTGCAGTATTTATGGCATATCCCCATTCTGTCAAGGGTTTGCCAGTTTTACAGATGCATTTTCCTACTTTACAAAATGTATCCTAGATAAGTAAAACCGTCCTTCATAGACACTGTCATTTTGGTAGAAATAACCTCTAGACTAATTTCTTCAGGAGAGTTATAGATGTCCAGTCATCTTGTTACAAACTATTTGTTCTATGGTAGCAGTCAGATCTGGAATATTACAGTGCTGGGTACTGCACATAGATGAGTTCTTCCCAGGAGCACAGTGTGTGCAGGTTTGTTAGTTGTTAAGTGAAGTAGAATCATTCAGAGAGGTAATGAGAAAAAAAAAACAAACAAGGGAAATTGCTATAATTGGGTCACGTTGATTTCAGTTCTGAAGAAGGAATCTTTCTGAGTCTAAACAAAACAGTATCCCAGCTTGGTGCCTCGTGTCCTCTGCTGATGATTGCCCAGGCGAGGTGGAGGAGGTGTTGGAATGGAGGGGCAGCACAAAAGGCTCATACAGTGCAAAATGTCAACATCCGTATCTTGAAGTTTCCTATGTATGTGCACCTTAGGCGTGTACCTTGAAAATTCCACGTACTTGTGGAAAGGGTAGGGTCATGTGAACAATTTATTGAACTTCAGGCCATATAATAAAGTGCATCATTTGTCACACTTTCTTGAGCATGTCATTTGAAAGGTTGGAAATAATGCAACCATTGCTGAGTTTAAAATAAATCTACCTCAGCTTGTTGAAGTATGAGACCTCTAGAGCTGGTATTTGGTAGATTTCTATCAGCTGTTCTAAAAGATTTCCTAACAGTGAAATTTCATGTTTTCAAGATTTTCGAATAAAATTGTTTCTGCCTTTAAAATTCTGAAAAGGAATTAATTACAAGTTGAATCCACCAGTTTAATGCATCAAAGTTTGTTGATTTAAAACAAAAAAAAAAAGTACTACAGCAGGATCATTATTAGTAGCAACCACTGTGGTAGGTTATTTCATCAGTGTTTCTTATATTCCTTATTACTCTCATAATGTATCAATTTGCCCAGTCTAAGGAAATCTTTCCTAATATTAAGATTTTCTTCTTATCTTTCAAAGACTTTTTGCAGAAGCTAAGATTTTAACCCAGCACTGTGTTAGGAATCGAATGGGTGTTTCATCAGCTTCAGTATTGATGTTAGAAAGGGAAAAAAAGCAAGTAACAGGGATTACTCGATATCAATGATAGTAGAAGCATGCACTATTATACCACAATTTGACAGCAATATGCTTCTTACATTCTTTTGTTCCTTGGATATTAAAAAAAAAAAGCTATTGCAGTAAATAAAACAGTTATACTGTACTTTGCAATGATCTGAGGAGGTAATGAGGACTTTAAATCAGAAACCTTGGATAGATGACTTGGCATGCTTAGAGCATTTGACTTCATAATTTAGTAGACTTTTCTTTTTTCTCACAATCTGTACTGAGACAAAGTGCAATGACATGGTCTCAGACAATACTATGTTACTGAAAGTGTTGTTTTTCAAATCATGCATAACAGAAGCCCTTTTGAGGTCACTTGAAAGACCTGTAGATGTGGCACTTAGGGACATGGTTTAGTGGTGGACTTGGCAGTGTTAGGTTTACGGTTGTACTCGATGAACTTAAAAGTGTTTTCCAACCTAAATGATTCTATGAATACTTATTACACTTTTCAAGGTTATATATTCCCAACAAAATTTCCACTAGGCTTTCTCAGCTGTCTGCATTTCCTGTGATTTTGCTGGTCATGTTCTTTTGCCTGAGGGTCCCTGGCTGGAAATGCACTCTGCATGAATTCACCCAGCTTGTGAATGATAGTATAGTGTTAATGTGTGTTAATGCATTAATGTTAATGGCTGCATCATTGCCCTCTAGAGATGACTGACTTCCAATGGTGGGTAAACAGTCATATTTACTGGTTAAGTTATTTGAGACTCTATGTACATATTGTAAATTTTTATTTTATTGACTGGAAAGTTGTATTTTTATGAGTTTTATTAACCATGATATAAGCCCTAAAATGACAGGTTGAAAGCCAGTTGTGTGGTACTAAACCACAAACTAAGTCAATCAACGTATGTAAAGCATAATACAAAAAAAATTGTAAAAATATTTTTAAGATTTAGTTTCTTATCATTGTGATCTCTAGAGACTGCAGGTCTGAAAGCAATAAATAGGGAACCTTGGATGCAATTTGCTTTATTTTAGGTCCATTTTGTAAAGAAAATCCTCAAGTGCACTGGTGTAACCGTGAAAACATTTGTAAGCAAAGTGCCTGTGATTGTCCAGACCCTTCCATAAAAAGATATCTTCAAACTTCACATACTAAAATAACAGTATAATCCCCAAGATTTAGCTAAGAGAACACCAGTTACTCATGCTTTGCTTTCATGACATGGCAGCCCTGTCAAATTCCTATCAGCTTTGGTTTTAATCCTGTTGTTTGAGCCACTTGCAGAAATTTCACAGTTAATGTACAGCAGGTGGGAGGTGGAGCTGTGAGAAACTTTCCTGTCTCATCAGTGAAACTGTTCAGGATTTTGTAGCAGAACCAAAAATTGTGTACAAAGATAGGAGAACTGGCAATCTCTTAATTTACATGGCTCTTAGAGTACTGTCTACTTCTGTAGGACTGGTAAAATCATTCTGGGATATTGACAACAGTTTTCAATTCCTGAAGACCAAATGGATGTCCAGAGCTGCAGAAAGCACGAACCGAGGGAAAGTAGTCAAGGGCAAAAGACATATTACAAAATAAGTAACTGCAAACATTTAATTTACGTGTCTCAAAAAAAGATCATCTTGGGGTTATGTGAATAGTAAACATGTTTATACTAGATAAGGAAAGAGATTTCTGGCCTGTGTAGGCAAATGTGAGGCAGGGATTATGAATCTAAAATTAGAGATGGAAAAGTACTTCTTGGACATTTAAAATGGTTACAGCAAGTATTGGCTCTGCTTATTTTATCATGTGCCCCTTTCCATGAGTGGCTAGTAATAGATTTGATGAAAGAGATTTGGCAAAAGAATAAACTACGTGGTGCTTATGATTAGAGTTTTAAGAAGTTAAATACACAGTGGGATTAGAAGGGAGGAATATTGTATTGATAGGGAGCATTGCCAGAATCTCGTTTTCTCTCAACTCTAACATACTTTGCTTTGTGAATGTAATTGTCTTAAAGCATTAATTCTGTCTTCCGTGCTCCTCTTATTAATTTAGGTAACTACTGCAAGAGCTCTGTGAATATCTGCTGAATTCCCAAAAATGTGATTCACTCCATGGAAGCACTGTGCTAATAATATTACATGCTCAATGTTGGTGAAGTTTTGGCGTAGAACATCTGCTGTGCTTTCTGAAGTGTGACACCCACAGATCATCTGTTTCAGCAGACCCAGATTATCTCTAGTAGAGTTTTTAATAAGAACCCTGTCACTGGGAAGCATCTGTAACATTGCTTCCTTTATAGCTGGAAAGTTGAAAAAAATAAGTTGCTACCGCAACCGATGTGTGGAAGAATGCCAGAACTACTGTCATGTGGCATCAGAGTCACTGATTATTGAGCTATATTCTTGTAAACATTCAATGTATTTGCCTGTGTTTTCTGTTTAGAGTTCTGGCAAATGAATGCTACATCACAGAATTTTGTTGTAAAGCCAAGATACAGAAGAAGTAAAAGGCAGGTATGTGCCAATATGCTTGTTTATAAATAATATGCCATCAACTTTGTTATGTGTCTGCTGAATTAATTTGTCCAGATGGAGTGCTGCTGCTTGGGCTGGTTTGCCTATAAGAAAAAGAGGTATGTAATGTTGAAAAAACATTGATGGGTTCTCTTGAACATTGTCTACCCAAAGTATTATAAAATTATTAAGCACTGCTAAATTGCAAATGGAAAAGTAGCTAAAATATTTTCTCTCATTTTGAGTATAGAATGTTAACATTCACAAGTATTTTTTACATTGCAGTGGTGGTAAGTAGCTACTTTATCTCACTTGACTTTGATTTGAAATGAATTTCCTACACTGAGAGTTCATCCCCTGTTTATTAAAGTGGTGGAGCCACTACGTGCAGATGTTTGTACCCTGGGAAGCTAGCAGCAATTCTTTGTACTTTAGGAGTGGAGCTCAAATGATGGGACAGGTCAAAACAGAGCCACATCAGAGGGCCTGGATGGTGCAGGCAAAAATGAAATACTGAGAGCAGTAGGAGGGGAAGATGACTTTAAAATCACTAACTAATACAAGCCTCACAGAGGCAAAAGAAAAGTGAGAAAGACATTGGAGCATTCTAGAAGTCATTCTTGAGGGTCTGTCTTTATATCAGGAAGTTTGCTGTCTTTCTAGAAACTGGGCATTACTCTGCATTTTTAAGTTATAATGGCATAGTAACTCTCCCAGAAAACCCAGTTAAAAAAGGTCATCATGAAGAAGCTCAGTCATAAATGTTTCTAAATGCAAAGCAAGCAGTACACAGAGGTGAGTGCTGCATTCGAGCAGTGTGCGAATAAATAATAGAATTGTTAGACAGTTTTTTCATAAATAATTCAAGAGGGTTCCCTTTCTCTGTGGAAAAAAAAAAAATATAGCTGGCACAAGCTATTTACTGGCCTCACTGGGGATTCTCTTTCTTTGAAAAAAACCCTAAATTTGGGATTAGATACTTGATTTCATTGCTTAAGGCCATAGAAATGTCCTAAGCACCAGAAGTTTCATCAGTATCTGGGACCAAAATTGAGACAGTAGAAAAAATGTGTGCATGAGAAGTTTGGTTTCTGAAGCCATTTCTAGGTACCAGTTATATTCTCTCTGTACACTCACTTCTGTACACTCTCTTACACTTTTACTCTTTCTGTAGGTTCGTCGGATTCCACGTAAAGTTGAAGAGGAAACAAAATACATTGAGTTGATGATTGTAAATGATCATCTAATGGTAAGACTGACACACTTAAACATCTTTCAATTATCATTAACATCAATTTGTCTTAATTGCTCCATAAAGGATAACAATACAGAACAATGTATGGCCAGAATAAATTCAGTATACCCTTTAGAGAAGAGAGTATTGTTTCATTAATGATTGATGAAGTTGCTTCTGAATTTTGGCAAGGTAATTTCACCAAGAATGCAACCAGGCCTGAGTATGAGAAAGAAGGGTCATAAATTAAAGCTTTGTGTCATAAAGTAACTAATATCAGTGTGACTTAAGCTGATGATTTTCTGTCTGGCTTTCTTGGGCACTTATCTTAGCTATAGCCACTCAGCAATCAATAGTGCAGTTACTGCAATTGTGCAGCAGCTGTTCACAATGGGAGATTAATAGTGACTAGATTTTTTTGATATGTCCAAATCAATGTAGAGAAAATTATTTTGTTAAGCTTCTATGCTTTCTCTGGGAAAACATAAACAGGCTCTTTAATGTAGTGGAAAGAGACATAATAAAGATTAGTGTATTGAAGAAAAACCAGGCTCATTCAAGTGGGAAAAGTCACAGATTTATGTCAGTGAAGATTATTAATAATTAATGAAAGGAATATCAAAGGATATGGTGAATTCTCTGTCACTTTCAGTCTTCAAATCCAGACAGTATATTTCGGGAAGATGTGGTGATGTCAAACACAAGCAATAGGATTCGATCTTGAAGTAACTGCATAAAGTTCAGACTGGTGATGCCACTTCAACTGGTGACATTAATTGACTTTATGGTCCTATATGGCTTTAAAATCAAAATATATCTATACATTTTATCTACCCTTTCTGTTATGTGCAGCTTCTCTCAAGCAATACCCAAATTGGCAAAAATGTCAGAGTGTACCAAGGAATGTGCCACTGTCCTTGGACAGGGTACTGCTCCATTAGCTCAGTTTGGTGAGCATAGCAATAAATTCTTGGATTAAATATTTTGAATACTGGATGCAGAATTCACTAAATCAGTGTCGTTGTGTTTCATCCTGAAGACCTGAAGCCACAACATTCCCCTTGGGACCTTACCTGTCTGGGCTGATTCCTCCCAAGGAAAATGTTTCCTAATTTTGGTTAATTATAGGCACTGTGGGAGTCAGTCCATCTATGAGTTTATTCCCTGAAGCAAATGCCAATGAACATCCATGGTCAAAGAAGATGAATAATTTTCTCCTGGACAAAGGAAGTTTCATATACTCTGGTCTCCCTGCTTTCTCCTTGGACTGGGCTAGCATTTGGGTTACTGTCTGTGCGTGTAGTCGATGTAGCTATCTGGGTGCACTCAGCGTGGGGCTGACACTCTGCAGAGTCACAGCCATTTTCATTGTTCAGCCTTCCCTGGCACTTCCAAAGGGAGCAATGAACCTTGAGCTTCCTCTGGTTCATAGAGCCGTCTGTGTGTTGCCAGCCCTGTATGGCCACTGAGCGCAGCAAGGGCTGTGGTACTCTTCTGTCTGCTCTTCTCAGCTGTTTGTCTGACCATTGCTTCTAGTCGGAGAATAAAGCTTTTGAAACTCAAACACTTAAATGGTCTTATAAACTAGTATACTGAGATCATTTCAGTAGGCCTCCAGAATCTCTAAGCATCCTAAAGTTTGAGGTTTTAGTTGCAAATAGAGACTTGAGTACTATACTTACTTTTCTTCGTTCCCATGCCTAATTATCTCTGTATTTTGTAGCTTTTTCATTTAATCCTTTCTGCCATTTTTATCTTCACAGTCCTGTCCTTCTGTATTTTTTTTTTTTTTTAGTAAGTGTATCGTACTAATTTTTGGTGCTATTTCCCCCATTCCTGTTTGAATGCATGCCTTTCCTATCCTCTAGTTGGTGGGCACTTCTTCATGCCTGCTTAAAGATTCTAACTTCCAGAAAATACGGAAAACTTTCAATCCAAAATCAAGCATCATGGGGCACAAGATGGTTAATAGTTTCTGAATATCTTGGCCTAAATTCTGCTAAGATACTTGTGACTTTCATACCCATGGTGCTCATATATAAGTGTTTTTCCCTGCAGATAGGAGTACCTGGACAGCTATCTTCAGTGTCAGCTTTATAGCACTGCATTACAGACTTCACTAAAGGTGCCATTGCAGTCTGATTGCTAAAGTGATATTAACCAGTTACCGTGGCATTATGGGGATGTGAAATTGTACATGAAGAAATACAGATAATGGCTTAAGAGAGAGAACTGGAATAAAATAGGAAGTCTGATAGGTTAAAATATGGGTGGAGGCACTCTCGGGGTAACACCTCCAAAGGAATCTCAACTATGGAAGTTGTGTTGCTAATTTCCATATTGGCATTTGGAATTAACTTTAAAATTGTCAATAATAAGGATAATGAAAATGGTAACAGTATGTTCCTGTTTCTATAGCATTTATCAGTAAGGATCTTAGAGTACTTTCCAAAGAGGAATTAATAGATCCTCACAACAGCTGTTGTAAAGTGTATTAGTATATGTACACTCCTAAACAATTTTCTACTATTGCTCATTAACATTACATTCAGCACAGGAGACCAAACCTTGTACAGGAGTTTTACTGTTGGTGTAGTTGCTTTTTACTTTGGGCTTTTTTGGAAATGGAGTTTATGTTTTGTGAAGTCTCTCTATGTAACTTTTCTGTGTTTGTTTTGCAGTGTAAAAAGCACCGCTTGTCAGTCGGACATACAAACAGCTATGCTAAATCGGTTGTGAACATGGCAGATTTAGTAAGTATCACCCAACTAAATGTTCTTTTACATGACAGATAAGTCATATGCTTCTCCTGCTGTCAGATGCAGGACCTGTCAGTTCATGGTATACCTAATAATAACATACATGGAATCACAAATTTTCATCTAGAAAGTCAGACACCTGTAAGGCCTTTGTCTAACATAAATCACTAGAGATTTTTTGTGTCTTCAAAGATTTAAGTATCCTGCAAAAGGCAGTTTGAAATTAGAAGGCATTCAGATTTCTCCAGAAAAAGTGCATTTGAGTAAAAGAGTTAGAATAGGGACGTACAGGTGATTATGTGGATTGTATGTGTGATTAAAATTATATTTGTGACTAAATCAGATGAGCCGCTGGCTTTTGTACCTTACCCCAGGACAATATTACTAAAAAAAGAGGTTCCTGCTCTTGAAAGTACTTGGTGTGGAGTGTTAACCCCTGTCATTGAAAGGATAGCCCTTTTCTTGTGATTCAGCTAGCATGAGGTTAAATACTCCTACAGAGGTGTATTACAGTGAAAACTGGTTTTATAGATGACTGTTTGGTATAAGAGAGCCCTCGTGTGTAACTGCGGTGAGCTGGATGTTATAAAAGACCCATTAATTCCAAATCTTTGAACTAGTTGGATTGATTCTGTAATAATTTGTCAAAAATCCAATCTCCCTTTTATGTAACTCTGCCTGTGTAGGACCTGCATGGGCTCTTTTTGTAGTCTGAGAGAGCTGATTGAAGAATTATGCCTAAAATTCAGATTTTACTTTGTTTGCATGTCTGTTTGTTGGTTTTAAGGGAAATAAAATCACCTAGGAGAAACTAAACTGTGCTAGAACAAGCTAAATATTTAGTTATGTAAAAATGCAAGCTATTATAAAAAAGGGGTACACCTCACCTTTATTTTGTTTGACATAATATATTTGTTCATTCTGTTAATGTACTAGATATATAAGGAACAACTTAACACCAGGATAGTATTGGTTGCCATGGAAACCTGGGCTACTGATAACAAGTTCACCATATCTGAAAACCCCTTGGTGACCCTACGTGAGTTTATGAAATATAGGAGGGATTTTATCAGAGAGAAAAGTGACGCAGTTCACCTTTTTTCGTACGTAACCTCGTATGATGTTTTATTATTGGGGTTTTTTTCTTTCTTGGGGGTTGCTTGTCACAAATGGCTTATACATCTACTTTCTGTTGTCTGTGTAATCCACAGTAATTCAGAAAATAATGTTTCTGATCGGGAGGTGGGGAGAAGTTAATGCACAAACTGTCTACCAGTGCAACTAGAGATTTGACTCAGTTTTAACGTACTAGGCCAAGCTGCATGCACTGTAATCCTTGGTTATTCTGTGCAATTACCTACTTCACAAGCGCAGCTATCTGGAAGGTTATGCATGGATCCATGTCAGAGGCTGGCTTCTTTGGCAGTAGGGCACGGACAGTCCTGTTGTATTATTTAAAAATAGAATGTTAGTTTTGAATCCAATGAGGTTTCCTTCTTAAAAAGCACTATGGCCTGCTTTACTCTTTTGAATGACCGGCATGATGCAGGATTGGTGAAGTGTTTCAGATCCTCAGAGTATTTTGTTCTCTAGAGAGACATGTGTTGTAAGAAGAATAAGCTGGGAGGAATGTTATTTTCTCTAAATATATTAATTGTTTTGGAAATAAGATTGATATAAGATATGTATATGATTTATATAATTATTCTGATTATATGAAACATGTCTACAAAAGCAGAGGAGAGGTTTGTGGCTGAGATTTTTGATCCACATAAGTCAGGCTAGATGAATTGCTCTGTGGAAATTCTTATCCCTCTCCGCTGCTCTGTGGACTGTTGTAGGAGCCTATATGAATAAACTTAACCTAAACACCTCACATTCACATGACTCAGGTAGGGTGCCAGGATACTCAACCCCACTATACACCGTCCCAGCATTTTTGCACATGCTTAATCAACGTCCTTGACTTCTGCCATGAACAGAACTAGTAAGATCTGCAAGTGGTGCTTGCAAATTTTGGTTTCTCTGTGCCTCAGTTCTTCATCTGTAAAATGGGAATCAGGTTTTCTCATATGCTTTCTGATTCTTCTCTGGTGTAAGGTCTTTGGGGGAAGTCTTGAGTCTTGTTCTTATGAATGTTTGTGGATTTGCTAGGACCAAGAGGGCCCTATTTCCCCTGTGACTGGGACTCTGAATGCCACTGTAATGCTAATTCCAGTGCTATCCGTAACACTACCACCAGTGGTGTTATTATTTAGAAATAAAAATTTCTGAAATGGTGTCTGTGAGTGAGACATGGCTGAGCTGGGAGGTGAGGTTGGCCAGTGTGATGATACAGTAGTTAAATATGAACTTCCACCTTCAGCGCAGTTAGGCCATTGTATTGTTTCTTGATGTTTTCCTGGTTTCTTCTGAAAAAAAAAAAAAACCCAAACCAACCAAAAACCCGACAAACCAATTTGCCTCAGCTCAGATGGATCGGTACTCTGAAGTGGAGCAGAGTATAATTTATCTCCAGTAACCGGCAGTTCATTCATGCTGCTGTGGTCAGCACCAAAGAGACGATTAGATTTAGGCTTAGACTGCATCTGTCCCTTGGATGAGATTGGCTGCAGTTCCAGGGAATTTTCACCTACCTCTGCATCAGTGAGCTGCTAATGCATCTCCTTTGAGTTTTACCACATCAGCACTGCCCAACTAGACACGTGTCTTTTTACTGGTCTCCCATGCACTGGCAACGTGGTTGCCTCTCCTGCACTCTGCCTGTAGCACATGCCAGCAGAAGTCACTTGCTGCAGTAGTATATCAATGAACAAAAAGCAGGTGAGATTCAGGTGGTCTGGCAAAACAGTCCCCTTCTTCTATGCTTTCTTATATTAGGTAGTCTAAGAAGGAGGAGGGAAGATAATAAAACTTTGCTGGAGATAGTTTGACAAGTGAGGTTTGCGAGTAGTTATCTGTTTTTCCCATTTTATTTTGCATAGTTTGCAGTGTAATGATGGCAGCCAGCATTTGCAAATCAGAAGGGTAAATACTGGGATGGATAGGTGCAAGCCTCATGGACTGAGCAGGGTAAACTTTTTTTTTTTTTTCTTTTCTTAAAGGGGGAGTCGATTTCAGAGCAGTCGAAGTGGTGTAGCCCACACTGGTGGAATCTGCTCCTTGCTTAAAGGTGGAGGTGTGAATGAGGTAGGTGAGGATAGTGGCATGAGCAAAAAGTGGTGGAAACTTATCTGCACGGAATTTGTCAGCGCAGACATGTTCCTCAAAATACCTTGCTTCTGCTTTGCTGATGCAGTTTTAGTTCAGGGATATCTCTATAGAAGCAATATCTCAACAAAGAGTGATAAGTGAATAAATTCAGATATGGATTCAAATACACTTTTTTTCCAGCAGATTCTGCAATACCCTGTCATTCATACTTAGAGTCACAATGGCAAGAAGCAAACAGACTTTCTCGTACTTAACTTGTCCTTCAGCCAGCGTTTAGTTTTCCTCACTTGTTCATTACCTGGCTGCTCTGAAGTAAGAACTCTGTGCTTCTGATTTTGTTTGATAAAAGTTGCCTTGAAATGAGAAAAGCTTTACTTTGTGTCTGAGATACTTACATATGATGACTCTTCCTACCTTGTTTCTTTCTTTCAGTTTGGAAAGCCAGACTTAATGGCAGTTACCCTGGCTCAGACCTTGGCCCAAAACATTGGCATTTTCTCAGACAGAAGAAAAACTATAAGTGGTAAGGTTGTTTGGCTTTTTCACGCATTCTCAAGGGAAAAATCTTAAAAGGTGAAAGATCTTGTCACTATCTCTCTGATAGGTATTTTTCCCCATGTTTCTCGTAATGATGGAGTATTTTAGTTTTTAGTGTAATAACATAAGGAGGAAATGATGTATCATTAATTTTCCTCTATTTAAAAGCTGTGATATCCCCCTGTCCATAATTGCTGGCAGCACTGGTGTCAGCATTTCGTTAAAAATAAATCATAAAGGTGTCTGCCACTTCCATTCATTTCAGGGAGAGGGATGTCACACCCACAGACTGAATGGCTGCTGTCTTACTGTGCAATGGTAGAAATATACAGTGTTAGACCTGGGCATGAGGAGCCACCTCAGTCCTGTTACACAAGATGGTTTTGACAACATAGCTTTTTCCCTGTTGACCTTGATTGAATTTCTCTTGTAAATTACTCAAATCTCCTGTTCCTCTGGTAGATTACCAAAATCTCCTGTATTTGCCACGATACTGCTGCCATTTCTCTGCTATAACCTTGGTATTCAACTTCTTAGTAACCCCTATTTATATGAAATGTTTTAATTCAGATCTCTACCTCCCCACCCCAACAAGGACCTTACCCTGCCTGCTTCCATGTTATATAAAGTCCTAGCTTGATACAATTAAAATAATAATAATACAGTTCTGAAGCAATAGATGATGGAGTGTTTAGTTATTGGATCATGTGTACTTATGTGGCTTACATTAAAAAATGAGTTATATTAAGTAATAGAACTTTGCTTAGGTAGATTTTGTTTTCAGGTGTTATATAAAGACAGTATATAATACAGAGATACATCTGCATGTAAAGGTTTTTTGCAGTTCATGTAGTTTTATTTTGAAGACTATTGTAGGGATGTAGGAAGGATGCTCTATGTTACTGACATGTTCAGTATTCATTTTCCAGCTGCTTATTATTAACCTGATATAGGGGCAGGACAAAAGTGAAAATGATAATAATGGCAATTCCCTTTCTTATGGCTGAGGGGTGGGGAGAGAGGAGAATGCAACTGCTGAACAGCGTCTTGTTTCCTTTAAATTGTACTTTTAAAGTGGAAGCAATGAACTGATGTTTATGTATTACAAATTGCAGGAAGAGAAAGTACATGTGCAAAGCATACATAGAGAAATAGACACAAGACACAGTTTTGATAGCAGAGGGCTGAGATAAGAGGAAATCAGTCCCAGGCAGGGCAGAAGGGAGGGTTGCCCTCTGCCTGCTCAGGGGTTGCCTGGGGAAGGGAGAGAGGAAGGAGGAAGAAGCTGCTAGATCCCACTCTACTGGCTTGTGTTTACTGACCATTTTATGCATTTTTGTATGCATTACTGGTTTGGTTGTCTTTTTCCAAGCAAAGACTTCCTCAGTCACATTAGTATAGTTAAAGAAAAGAATTAAAAAAATAGAAGAAGGCTTAAAATGATTCTTCTTTTATTTTTTTTTACTCTGAAAATTCGGGTGTTGAATATCATGACACAGGAGAAGGCAGGAGAGCTGACTCATAATTTACATGTGCTGGAGGCTGACACTGCAGTTTCCCTAACTTCACTTTAAAAGAAGGAAAGAAAAATGGGACATATATTCAAATTGCACAGAATCATGGATAGTTTTTGAAAGGAAGTTCTCAGCATGCACTGATACACTTAAACTAAGGTGTGCATTAAACCAGCAAATTATTCTTTTCACCTTGTATTTAAATATGAAATGGAATTGACTACAGGTTTTGTGATAATACATATATTATTTTGGACTCAAAATGTTTTTTGTTTTTTTTTTTTTTTTTTTGTGTTGTTGTCAGGTGAGTGTAAGTGTGAGGACACGTGGTCTGGATGCATAATGGGAGACATGGGGTAAGGCATTGCACTAGAGGAAAATCATGTCCTTCATATAATGACGTAAAGGAAAGGTGTGAAAACTTTTGCCTGTTGTGGTTCAGCACAGTATTTTCTGTGAATCTTTTTATTTTTTATTTTTTTTCAGAAAGTAAGATATTGGCTGTACAACATATGTAGAAAAGACACTTTCAAAGAAATGTGAGAATAAGTGAGTTAATGAGAGTATATGTGAGGATTTTTGGTGACTGCTGGTTTAGCTCACAAAGCACAGGGCTCAACAGCCAAACCAGGTCATTGCAAAGAAGCAGGAGCTTCTATCTATTCTTTCTTATACCCCAGTTTGTGTAATGATAGAAAAACTGCACCCATTGGAGGTTGAATATGCTTATACCCACATTTAATGTCACTGGAGAGATTTTATCTAATGACTAGTGAATCAGGAAATTTTAGATGCTAGATGAAATTTGATGCTTTCTAATGTATCTGTTCAGATCTTAATTCTTCCTATCGCCTGTCTTTCATCATGTGTATGAATTAAACTATAGTCTAGTTTTAGATATAGATGGTGATCCAAATATTTACATTCATTTCAAACTAACCTGCAATAGCTCGGTTGTCAGAACAATTTTGAACCAAGAGGAATATTCCATTCAAAGCTCTTTGGAAGTGTGAATTTGTTCCTTTTTCACCTTGTGTACCTAAAAACATACTAGGTAGGATTTTTCTAATTTTTGGTTTGTTAAAAAAACAATCTTAGAAGCATTTTTTCTTCTTGTAAAAGTGATTCCTTCTCTAATGGTCTTTCTTTAAATTCTAAAGTCCAAACCTTTCAAATTATTAGGTATAGGTACCTAGCTTTTTGATGAAGGTTGGTAAATCCCACAATCTCTGTAGTCTTCAGACCTAAATCATAAACGCTATAGATGGAAAAGGCTGATTATGTTTTGCAAGCCATCACTCCCTGGAATGCAGGGTTATTTTGTATGGCATTTCTGCTAATATTTTCTTATTCAGTGATGAGCTGATACAGGAAAGCCCGTGAAACACCAAAATCTGCTTGAAGCATAAATACTTTCATGACTAAGAACCTAAATATAAAGATCACTTAAGATACTTTGGGAAAAAATCTTTCCCTGTGGAAAGGATTCATGAAAAGATTCTCTGCATGATATTGCTTTTAGGCGGTATACTATGCTTTAGGCTAGCTCTCTGTACTTGAATGAAATTTATTCAGGGGGGCACATGAGAGAGGGAAACCAAAATGTTATCTGACGTTTGTTAGAAGCATGTTTTTAAATGCCATATATATTATATAAAAATTCTGTGGGTCAGGAGAGCAATTTCATCTAGGAGGGAAATTAACTATGAGTAATCTTTGTTTTCTGCAGTATGTATAGGAAGAAATAAGTGAGATCAGGCCCGTTAGTGGAACAGGTCATGTTCGTGAGAACTACAGACTGTGTAATAAGATTTGTGCTATTTGGCATGAAACAACTTAGTGAAATGTTTTAGACCTCTCACTTTCTATGAGCTCTGCGTCATTGCTGAAAGTTCTTATTTAGTAAAATGATTTAGGAATTAGAAAGAGTTACAGGCAGATAGTCACTCTGGTTCTGAACAGTGTGGTTTTGTACATTTTCTATAGTATAACATTATATTTCTCCTCCTATTTTGGAAAAAAAAAAAGAAAAAGGGAGTGTAGTGTAAAAAGCACTATAGAAAGTAATCCTGCTACCTTATTTCTGTTCAGGTATTATCTTCCAAGCAAGTTCTCCAAGTGTGATATTGAAGAGTATCATGAATTTTTAAACAATGGAGGTGGAGCCTGCCTTTTCAATAAACCAACCAAAGTAAGTATTATCTTACTTCTATTCTATTTCTAATATAGGTGAAACCAGGAAGAATTAAAATGGTAATGTTAGAAAAAAATAACATCTGTAATTTTGATATTTCTTGTTCTCTCTAAATTTCCTGGTGACATATGAGTAAAAGTAGCTTATTCTAGTTCATAGTAGCTTGGAAATTATATTTAAATATTTTTTTAATAAGCGGTTTCATGTTCAATAGAGTTCTCACAGGCTTTGATCTAGAACAATCCCTCAGGCAATTTGTTCTGAATATTGAAGATACAAGATGTTGCTGAATTTATTTGATGAGGTTTCAAGTGTCTTGGTAAACTTTTGCACAGTTAATTTAAGTTGAACTCATGTCTTTTGGCAGGAATCTCTGGAAGCTGAAGTAAGATTGCTTTTATTTCACATCTGTCCCAAGATGAAGCAAAGGCTCCTAGAGCCTCTGCAGGGGGTGCAGTACTGTGCAGGCCAGCAGCTTTGCAGACACCAGCAGTTACCAGTGGTTGTGATACTCTCCCTGTTTGGAGGAGGAAGAATAGAGTTTGAAAACTGGGACTCGTTTTTGTAAAGCTGGAAGAGGCAGAGCAGGAGAGACAGCCCTGAGGAGCAGGGGACAGACACTAGGAGACCCTGTGCCTGCTGGGCACTTGCCACACTCCTTCATTCCCTAGGTGCTGCCCACATGGTCCTTGTCACTGTCATCCCCTCAACTGTGTCTGCTGAGAGAGAAATGTATCTATCTAGTGAGAATTTCTTGGAACGTCTTAGTCCTGCATTGGCTACTTCCAGACCAGTCTATGTGGCTCTGCACAGCCTTGCCTTGTGCTGGGTAGCCCCCCAGAAAAGGAAGACTGGTGAATCCCTGCTGGACCCTTGTCCTCAATGCCACTGTACCTTGCCTTATTTGGCAGGGTGCATTACCTCCCTAAAAGCCTGGGGACAGGGAGCTCCAAAAACACTGGCACCCACTTAAATGACTGACACATCCCCTCCAAATTTGCCTCTAAAATATGAAATCAGATGTCTTGCCCTATTGAGTCTTGAAAATTAGAAGTGGGGAGTATCTCTTGAGATATATAGCATTTGCCTTTTCTTTGCTTCTATTGTCTCAGTTTTGGCTTGCTAAACAGGCATATTCATGTGAAAGATAAAAGACTATGAAGTGATTGACTGAGACATTTAAGGGAGGAAAGTAAAAAACAAGGCTAAAGAAACTCCAGCCAAGATATAAGTGCTTCTACAATGGAGGATTTGCAGCAGGGTTCCACTCCCTTCCTGCACCATTTACAGAAGCACGTGTTCAAGTGTAATCAGAAAAATGATCTTGACTCTTTCTGTATATAATTAGTGTTATACTCTATTTAATGTCAGTCCTTCTTCAAGCAAAGGAAGGAGGCCAAGGCAGACAGGCAGTCAGTGTGTAAAAAAGAGCTGATAGCTGAGGTGGTCACATATGTAAAAGAGAAAGTAATTTCTGGAGTGATGCACATTTATTCTGGAGTGGCTGAGAAAAAGTGCATCTTCTGACAACCACAGAATTTCAATAAATATTAGAGAGGAGAAGAGAAAGCATCAAATCTGGATAAGCTGAGTCTTCTTATCTCTCAAAGGTCTCATTTTTGTGGAAGAATGTACTATTAAAAGTGGAGAGAAAGCACTGTAATTCATTAATAAGATGTAAGATTTCTGTCCTGGTTCATGACAGATTTGTCATTCTTTAAAATGCACCTGTGTTTTAGAAGTTTGCTTTTTCCCATCTCATTAGAGGTGGAGAGGAGTACTGGTGGGTTTATTTCTTTGCTGAGTAAACTCTTTCCATGGTGTAATGTGTCTTACTTGAGTTTGTTTTAGTGATTATGTTCCTCTACACATCTGTCACTTGGGAAAAAACAATTACTCTAATCTCAGTTTAGATTGGCAGCATTTCCAATTTCCTCTAATGGCGTGTGGAAATGTGAAAGTTAGATGTGGAAGCCAGGGTGATTTAGACTCTTTTATGTATTGTTGTTTGGGTTGGTTTAAAGTTATTGTCAGTGGATGTCTGTCTAATTCACAAGGCTGTCAAAGACATGTTTGTCCTAGCAAGAGTAGTGAAACACAAACTTGTTTTTCCTTTCCGAGAAATACGAGATAAAGGAAAACTGACATGACAAGGTGCAGCATTCATCAGTGCTCCACTGTAAGATCAGCTGTGTTCCTGAAAATTACATCAGTAACTGCTGGAGCAGATTAAGCATATGCTTTTTTCAAATGAATGGATCAATTATATGACTTTTGGGGGAAAGTTATCCAATTTGCCATTAATGTTGGGTTTTTTTTTTCTTCTATTTCATATTTAGCTGTCCCTATGTATTGCAGCAAATGGGCCCAATGTTGTAAGGCAGGATGCTCTGTTACTTCCATCTATTTGTATTGTGCAGTGTGCCTAGAGGCACTGAAGAAGTTAAGATGCCTAGAAAAATACGTAGGAAGCAAGCAGCTTTAACAACTCTGTAATAATTCTTAAAGATAATTGCTTTCTTACATTTAATGTTAAATTCTACACATGCATTTCATGCTGCAGTTAAATTTCCATTTCAATAGGGGATCTAATAATAGCATATCAGCCTATGCCACAAGCCTCAGGCTGGTTAGTGACACAGTGAAGTACATGGGGTGATGCTCCCTCCTGTGGGATACTGACAGAAAGGCAGCAGCCAGAGGGAAACAGTACACCACGAGTGATGTACTTGTGCAGATGGCTCATAAGCAGAGTGATTTCTAGAACAATCCTATTTTAACTGGAGAACTAGGAGGAAAATTTACAAAATTTTAGTCTTGATGACACACTTTCATGTCTTCTCATTTGTGTAGTAAAAGCTAATCTCAAGTTTTCTTATGCCCAAAGGAAATGAAACATTTTCTTTTCCTTTTGAAGGATTACCTTTAGAAATTTTAGGAAAAAGGGAAACAACAAAACCAGAAAGAACAGAGTAAAAGAGTCCATTAGAAAAGAACATAGCATGGATCCTATGCAAAAAATGCATCTGGGAAAGGAAAATACTTCTACAAATGTACAGATGTAGACATTTTAAGTTACAGTTTAGTGGGGAGGCTGAAGGGAAAGGGAGGAAGCCTCACCAGCTATGCTTTCTCATCTGCCTGTGACACATGCTTATGGAAAACTGCTGAAAGTTCTCAACTGTGGTAGAGAAAAAGGGAAGAAAAAAGCATCTGACTACAGAACAAACTGATAAAGAAACCTAGCCTCTCCCCTTTCCCTGCATTTTTGAGCCACATGCTACCAAAGGACAATTTTTTAATGGCTGTTCTTTCTGAAGTCATAATACAAGCTTCAACCTGAGACACAGTCTTCCTCACTTGAATTCCAGAGCAGCAGGCATTGCAACCCCTGTGAAGGAATGAAAATGTCATATTGTTTTTTTCCCTTCATTGTTGTGCCCTTTGTTTTGTGACTTCCACTCAAACTAAATCTGCTGTAAAAATGGCACTCATGCACAGAAGACACCATGTGACTTGGCAGTATTGCTGAATTAATTCTCAGCATTGTACATTCTCTGCACATTTCATTTGTGGTGTTTCCAGTCTGTTTCTCTCTGAGTTGTGGGTTTTAATTAACTGTTTTTCAGTTAATTAAGTTGGAATGTTAACTGAAAAACCATGTTTTACACAGTAAGTATGACAACAATTCCCTTAGGAGAGGCATGCCCTTTGATTTCTGATTTTGCCCCACAGCTTCTGGATCCTCCAGAATGTGGCAATGGCTTTGTGGAAGATGGAGAAGAGTGTGACTGTGGGACAATAGCGGTAAGTGCAGTCTACTTTAAATTAGCAACTAGATTCTCTAGGACTTAGTGCTGCCCATCACTACTATTAATATTATGTGGGGGAAGACAATTAATGTTAAGATTCTGTGCCAAAGGATTTGTCATTTCTTACCTTTTTCCAGAGTATTTAACAAAATGTGGGACAGGTTTTTTATTTGATCACCACACAGAATGAATCATAGAATCATAGAATGGTTTGGGGTGGAAAGGACCTCATCTAGTTCCAACGCCTCTGCCATGGGGAGGGACACCTGCCATTAGACCAGGTTGCTCAAGGTCCAGTCCAGTCTGGCCTTGAACACTGCCAGGGATGGGGCAGGCACAACTTCCTTGCACAGCCTGTTCCAGTGCCTCACCGCAAAATAAATACTGAAGAGTAATAGTAATAGCTACCTGTGCCGAATCAGGCCTTAAGAGATGTAAAAGAAAGTATTTTCCTAGATGGGAACATGACTCTGGTCAGTGCTAACATGTCAGTATTTCATGATTGACACTGTGAAGTTAGAAAAATTATTTCCTATATTGCATAGGAAACAGCAGCTTCGTGCCCCACAGTACGTGCAGCCTTCTGCCTCCAAGAGGCCTAGAAGCCTGGTTAAAAATCTGTTTGGGTAGCATGCTAAGACAAGAATGGGGTTCATCTGCTTTTCCCATGTATTCTGTTATAAGTGTGTGTGTTCCTCAGGAGTGTGCCAGTGAAGGAGGAGAGTGCTGCAATACTTGCACCCTAACGGCAGGCTCCCAGTGCAGCAATGGGCTTTGCTGTCGGAAGTGCCGGGTAAGGGCAGTGACCTTCACTGCAGCGTCCTGCCGGGAATGCATCTAGGTGGCTACAGACACCACAGCACATGTCATTTTCCTCACATATCTTGTGATACTTTTCTGAAAGCTTACCCTTTAAAATGGGCTGAAAACTGGTTTGTCTGGGGCTATTCTCTGTCTTTCAGGCTTGGGTTCTTGGGGCAGGGACTGTGATCAAATGCAGAGGTGAATTAAAGCCTTCCAGTTTCAGACAAGTTTGAATCAGGTTGGAGTTCCACAAGGTTTCATTACATGTCCTTGTTTAAACATGCACCTCCTTACCCATATGCTGCTCCCAGTGCCTTGTTGATCTGGATTTGCTCCATGATACTGAATGGAAAAATCATACCACGGAGTGCCTGAGAGCAGGATATAGTAAAAAAAACAAAACCAAAACCTAAAAATCAGTTAGCAGGATTGTTCAAAAGTGTTCATCTAGATAAAAGACACCTGACTGAGTTTGTTGGGTCTGCCTGTGTCTCCTTATGTTTGGACTGACTGAAATCCCATTTAGTAAAGGTATTCTCCCTGATACAGAATCATAGAATCATATAATAGTTAGGGTTGGAAAGGACCTTAAGATCATCTAGTTCCAACCCCCCTGCCATGAGCAGGGACACCACACACTAAACTATGTCGCCCAAGGCTCTGTCCAACCTGGCCTTGAACACCTCCAGGGTTGGAGCATTCACAACTTCCTTGGGCAACCTATTCCAGTGCCTCACCACCCTCAATGTGAAGAACTTCTTCCTTATATCTAACCTAAAGTTCCCCTGTTTAAGTTTAAAGCCATTACCCATTGTCCTAGCACTAGAGTCCCTAATGAAGAGTCCCTCCCCAGCACCCTTGTAGGCCCCCTTCAGATATTGGAAGGCTGCTATAAGGTCTCCACGCAGCCTTCTCTTCTTCAGGCTGAATAGCCCCAAATTTCTCAGTAGGTAGTTAAAGGAGGTTTAGCCAGATCTTGGCTGTAGGGAGCCTGACTAAATATGACTTCAGATAGTTGTTTATACTCATTTAGTAGTAATGATAATTATTATTAATGTTATTAAAACTGTGGTGTACTATGTGTGATATTTTTATCTTTGTCTGTGAACATATTATGAGGGTTTCATTTCCTTTGGAGGAACATTAGTAATAACTGTGGACCACATTCTTGACTTTGTACTCATACTGATGTTAAAAAAAGAAAAAGCACAGATTATGCTGGAACAGATCACATTTCCCTAAGCACATTCCTTTTTTTCAATGTGATGTAAAAAAATTAGCAGATTGCCAGTGTGAGTGAATTTTGTTCAAGCATCCAAGTCACACAGGCACCATGTTAAAGACTATGAGAACAAAAAAAATCTTCTGTGTATCTACATTATTTTTGCAATGAGACAAGCAAGGGTTTATCAACATAGAGAATGGTGAGGGTGAGCCAATGAAGAGAAAGGCAGAATTTTGCAAAACATGTCCGTAGGAGGTGTTAATCAGGACAACTCAAAAGACCATTTATAACAGTTCCCAAACTTGGGGTTACCTTCTCTTGTAATACCCTGCCTGAAAGCAGGAGTGAAGGAGGGACTTGCAAGCAAAACTTGGTGAGTGGTACATCCCAGCATCCTGTAGTGTCTCTGACAAGATTCCTGTCTGTCTGCATTTTTGCAGAGCCTGGTAGGAAAAAGATAAGCTGAAGGCTGAGAAAGTACCACATTCTAGCTCTTCCACTGATGTGTGCCCATTCACACCAGCTGTGGAATTAGCAGTTGTCCCTCAAAAAATGTATGTGCATGCAGATTCAGGAAAAAAGTCTCAGAGCTGCAAGATGAACTGGGTATTAGTCTTAAGAAACGTTTCAGGGGAAAATTAAGGAGTCTGTAGTATGCACATGACCAGAAGCACTAATTGCCACTAATGGGACGTCTTCCAGCTGTTACAGGTCTTGAAACTGAGCGCAGAAGTCTTTAACCAAAATGCCTATGTCAGGTCACTAGTACATTTCATTGTGGCGTCAAACTGTACAGAATTCAATACATTTATTACTAATTTCTGTTTTACAGCAGTAGCAGAGCACTGTAATAACCATAGTGTTATACCTGGAGCTTTGCAGTGTTCTTAATCCCTAGAGAGAAGATCAGGATCACTCTCCCTGTTTTATAAAGAATAAAATATCCACAAAAAGGTGCAATGACCTGGTGAAGGTAGTGCTGCAAGCATTACCATGCTCAGCCCTGCACTTGGGTGGGGGTGCCTCAGAAAGTGGTACTGCTTGCACCAGTAAGTGACTAGTGGCTTCAGTGTTGCAATGTCTTCACCAGGGGAAGGAAAGTCTTACCACATCAGTCAGCACATGAATATTTTCTGGTTTTATTTTAGTCAGAACTTTAAGGAGGCATTGCATTTAAGGCAAGATATGGAGAAAACAAGACATTAATTTTCTGTCCTTTTTTTATTCAGTTTGAACCTAAAGGAGTTTTGTGCCGAGAAGCAGTGAATGACTGTGATATTGCAGAGAACTGCACAGGAAATTCCAGTCAGGTGATTTTTGTATTTTCTATGCAAGAGATGAAAAAACCCTACTGTAGTCTCTCAATCACTATGAATGTTACCGTTTTGTATAGTAAGGTGTGTAAAAATTGTATTAAACCTGCTGATACTGAAAAAAACCAGCATGATACTGAAACAATTTTCCATATACTTTTGTTGTATACTTTGCTTCCATGCTTGTCTGATCTGTGATCTATTAGTTATTTTCTCTTTCTGTAGTGTTCTCCCAATATTCATAAAATGGATGGATATTCATGTGATAACCAGCAGGTAATTAGCACTTTGATTTGTTTTACGTTCTTTTGCTTTTATAGATTGCTTTCTATAGATTTTGATTTAAGATCTTTGGAAGTTGCCTGGGACAGTTCTGCTAACATTCCTGAGTTTTGGGTACTAGTCATATTTTGGAGCTAAGCATTAAAATGAGCAGAAAGTAGAATCACATACTAGTTGCCTCAATAGAGCGCATGTAATAAATCTGTACATTAAACAAATACATGTTTTGGAAAATCAAGTTATTTGAAACTTTCTCTGTATCCTTTCTTTCTAGGGTATTTGTTTTGGAGGAAGATGTAAAACCAGGGACCGGCAGTGTAAATATATCTGGGGTGAAAGTGAGTGAATGTTACTGCTTCTAAGTTGGTTGTGATTCATGTGGCTTGAAGGATTATCTCTGCTAAGAAAAATTATGGGAGACACATATTAAAAACAGCTAGCACTGTATGCCACTCCCCTTATTCCCTCCTCATTTTGTCTTTCTATCCTCTTTTCCAGCTCTTTCTCTAGTGTTGGTTAACTTAATGGTGATTTTTCTGAAGTCTTAGGTTTAAGTTCTCATTAATAACCAGTTGGGGAGCATATACTCATATTTATTGGTTTATTTCAGTGGCTTATAGACCAATAAACTCTGGTCAGTCTGAACAAAATTTTAAAACAGTCCTATGGTGCCAGCATAAATCTTTTCATTGAGAATGCTGTGCAGTTTCACAGGCCACCTGCAGACCATGGTACTGCAGTTCACAGATTGGGAAGCTCTGCTTGCTTTAATAGCACATCCCCGTTTTCCAGGACCTGGCTTTTCAAAGTCTTCATCATCTTAGAAGAGATTTATCTCTGTTTTTAGAAGTGACAGCTGCTGACAAGTACTGCTATGAGAAGCTGAATATTGAAGGGACTGAGAAAGGAAACTGTGGAAGAGACAAGGACTCTTGGATACAGTGCAATAAACAGTAAGTTGATCCATTTGGAAAACAACTGGTATGAGATTTTTTTGTTTCTGATACAGTTCTTCATCTGGCATGTAGAGGCTCAATAAGCCTTCTTTTGCAGACCTTAGTGCAGGAAATTCTGAAGCTCTCTGAGCTTTGGGAGCACGTAGACCAAAAGTGGTCCTAGTACTCCTGGTGAGGCTCAGCAGTGCAGAGGAGGGCAGCCTCTGGTTTCCCATCTCAGCATGGTGTTCATCTTCTATGCTGTGCCATTGCATTGCCAAGTTGTGTTTGATTTCCATTGTATTGTAATTTTTCCTGTGTCCTGCAAGATGCTGCCTAAACCAGTGTTTCACATTCTGTATTTATGCAGTTGATTATTTCTGCCTATTTCTGAACCTTTTGCCAGTCTTTGTCAGACTGCACCCTGGTGTTTCAAATGAGTTCTCCATTCTGTCAATGCCATTTGAATTCTAGTCCTGCCTACAGGTGAACCAATGTCTTTTTCAACCTTTCTGTGCAGATTTTATAACCTTACTTTTGTTCCATTACAACTACAAGAATAAAAAATACTCAGTAATATGGGAGAGGTCAGACCCTTCTTGTCTGACACACACAAGTCTCTGCATATGAGTTGTAAAGTCCCTTCAGCAGCTGAAATTTGGTGTCTCTAGTTCCCTTCCATATGTCGTATGAGAGTTGTTTAAAGCTGATATCTACGGATCTATATGGGCCAGTTATTGTATCTTCATAGGATATTTTGATTGATTTGATGTGGTTTGTTCTTGACAGCTCCCTGCTTGCTATTACTCAGAGCATTTTTGATAATACATCATAAAAAATATTATTTTCCCAGTCCAAGCTCAAAAGAGAATAATTTTCTTGGGAAACAAGACATTATTTATGGGAGTTACCAACAGCAGGAGGAAAGCAAGGAATGACAAACATGTTAAAAAGCAAGTGAAGAAAACCACACTTTTTTGATTGTCCGTTTTGTTTTCCATGAGTATCTTTATTCTCTCAATGCAGGGATGTGCTTTGTGGATACCTTCTGTGCTCCAATATATCCAGTGTGCCCAGACTTGGAGAGCTTGATGGTGAAATTACTTCGTCGATCCTGCAGTTTGGAAAAGTCTACAATTGCAGGTAATTGGAAATCCTGAGAACAGAACAGGGACAATCAATATCCGTCTTGCACAGAGAAGCAGCTTTCTCATTCCTAAGTGGAGAACAACTGTTTCCATTACTTTTTTTTGTCTATTAACACATAACCATTATTCCAGCTCAACTTTTGTTAAGCTTCAGGAAATTGACTGCATGTGGGGAATGCAGCTGTTTTGCAGTCCACTCTATGTAGTAGTTAATTTTGCCTGTGGAGACATAATGCTCTTCTCTGGCCTCTGAATTTTACATTCTTTAATATTTGTAAAGTACTTAATATACTCAAATACTTAGCCATATGCCTGCACTGCAAAAGCTAACTGGCAGCTTAATACATTGCCATGTGTTAGCTATATCACATTTATAGACCTGGTGTGTTCTCACAGCTTCACACAACTGTTAGATGAAATGAAATCGTGTACAAGTAAATTCAGTGTTTTATCTAATACTGGCTCTTACACAGGAAAAATGGTCTTTATTTTCACCATTACATTTGTTTGACATAGATAGATACACTGTGTTTTGGTTTGTTTCATATTAGGGCCAGTGAGATATATAAGCCAATACTTACTCTTTCCTGGTCCTGGGCATTGTATAATGCAGACAGAAGGCAGCAGTCCAAAGCCCGGTTTCTCAAGCAGTCCCATGTAATCACAGCACAAGTCTCCAGAATCCTTTTGGTTGTCTTGCAGTGGTGGCCATGTGAAGCTTGATGAGGAGACGGACCTGGGCTATGTGGAGAACGGGACACCATGCGGGCCAAACATGGTGTGCCTTGAGCATCGCTGCCTCCCCACCAAGGCCTTCAACTTCAGTACCTGCCCAGGCACCACAGACAGCCAAATTTGTTCAGGACACGGTGTATGTTACTGTATTCCTTAATCCTTTTTTCCATTTTTGCTCAGTACCTGGCTTTGTGTAGTATAATAGCTAGACCTTTCAGGAAGCCAGCAGCGTGACTCTTGAAGTCTTATTACTGGAGGAGCTTTTGGAAAGGAAAAGGGGAGAAGGCACTTAAATAAACATAATGCGTAGCAGTCAAGGCATCTTAAACAATGAGTCATAGTAAGTATGTATTAGTTTTACAAAAAATTTATCCACTGATTCTTTCACTATCACTTCTGCTAACTTGATTGATATTTCCTCAGGCAATGTACTGGAGAATATAAAGGTATTATGAACTGAGAAACTTGGGTCTCTATTCTTCCAGGTGCTCTTTTTCATTCCCTCTTTACTGTGTCAACAGGCAAGAAGGTTCATAAAGTTGTTGGATTCTGAGAGTTACTTTGCTCTAGAGAAGAGGGCAATGAGTCCTCTTGGCTAGTGGCAGCCTCTCTGCTTGTTGCGCAGCCCTGGCAAGTTCCCTTGTCCTGCACACAGTTTGAAACAGTGTCCAGCTCCCTATGGCTGAGCTGAGATCAAAGGAGTTGTTCTCTCATAATGTCTTTTGTCTTTTACACAGCATTAGAACTCCCCTTTTAATTTGAAATTAACCACTTCATCATATTTTGGGGGGAAAAAAGAGTAATCGTTGAGGTTCAGTCTCTCAAAGCACTTATAAATGGTTCTATTAAATTTATATTACATTAAAATAAATGAATGTACTTAATACATATTACACACCTTTATATATAAAGTATAATAATAGATTTAATACATCTATAATATATAAATTAAAATTTGCTGTATATTTAAAATATTTTGAAAACTTTGCAGGCAAAATCTGTGACTGTCCTTGTACTGTAGATACTACTTATGGGAATAGATCCATTTTATGATTTTACTCTGTGCTGCGCTTTTGGCTGCAGGTTTGTAGCAATGAAATAAAGTGTGTCTGTGACCGATTCTGGGGAGGAGAAGACTGCAGTTCTCGTATCAAAGATGATCTATATTTTGATAAAGATGCTATCAATAAAGGTACGTTGTTATAATTTTTACCAATAACTGGAAAGGCTCGGATGTGAGGATGGTTCATTGAGCAAAACTAGATCTCCTACTCTTTCAATTAGCATACAACATGATGCATCATTAGGAGCCTCATTCCCTTGCCTTCCTCCCGCAGCAGAAGCACTCAGTCTCTGCATGAGGTCTCAGACCTGCGGCTGTATGCAAGCAGTGTTACTGACAAGCACTCAGCCCACCTCGTGGGACTGGTACCAGTGTGTCCAGTTGTACCTTGTTTATCCCAGTCATCTGAGGGGCCTTATAAAGTGTATTGATAGATTAGGACAAGCAAAACGTTACTTGGACTTTTCATACCTAAATGGAAAAGTAGTGTTACATGATTGTTTTTTATTTGTAGAGTAAATCTTTTATTACATAGTATGTGGAATGTTGACACATAAATTTTAGGCTGTTACATTCTTTGAGTGAAACCTTTTATTCATCTTTAGGGTCATATACATTTGAAAGAGAAGTTGTGGAAAAATGAGGGTGTAAATGTTTTTCATTATAAATTCTTGTTGGGGGACAGTCTTCCGGAATGTCTTTTTTGGTTAGTTTATTCAGCTATGGAAAGGATTTAAGCAAATCCAAACAGTCACTTTTATTCCAGTGTAAGCATGTATTTGCAAGGCAGCTAATAAGGATGTAATCTACAGCAGTTTAGTATTGATAACATTAAATTGGCATATCTGGCACAACTTTCTCATGTAGCAAGTGTTCAGGAAACAGACACAGAGGTCAAAGCTTGATTTATGAATGATCTTTTTATGTCCATGCTATACTTCAAGATTATAGCACTGGCAGGCTTTTGAAAGACAGTGCATTTACTGGTTTTGTATATTTTTCTTCTAAAACCCTGTATATTTTTCCCCTTTCTTGTGTTTCCAGGTGTTGTTAGCACAAATATAATAATAGGGGCTATTGCTGGCACCATTTTAGTGTTGGCTCTCGTTTTAGGAATAACTGGTTGGGGTTACAAGTAAGTAAACTGAGTTTTTCTTAATATGGTTTAAAAATATGTTTATTTCATCTGATGTCTTATTATAAGAACAATTCAAACATAACCTAAAAAATCCAAATTTTATTTGGATTATATTTATACAGTGACATTTTTATTGTATTAGAATTTTCCAGGCAATTCTTACATGTGTATGTGCTTTTGGAGAGCTTGATCCAGGTTTGAAATTTATTTCTTTCTTAGTTATTTAATTTTTTGTAGATGATCAGGTTATGATTTTACTGTATCTGACAAAGGAAATACAAGAATACAGTCTGATTCAATTATAAACTTTTCCTAATGATGAAGTAAATTTAGCAAGATTAGCCTTCAGTCAGTAAAGCATTTAACCATAGGCTTCCTTAAATAGATGTTTATATTCAGTCATCTTAACCTGAAATTAATTCAGGCACGTTTTTTGGTAAGAGAGAGATCTGTAATTTGCAAATAAGGTGCAAGTTCTCCGGGTGTAGAACTGTCAGTGTTCGCTCACTAGGAAGCAAAACAAATTACTTAAGCCTGACTGAGCTTTTTCAGTTTTTCTCCTTTGGTGAATTTCTTCTAAAAACAGAGTGGTTTAGGGGTTTTGCATGTATTAAGAAAAGATTCAAGGTACTTGCTTTGTCACCTATTGGGTGAGACTGGCTCTTGAAGTCCTTCATCCACTGGTCCTTGGTGTGCTTGGGCGGCAGGGCAGGTTCACCTTGCAGGCACTGCTGTAGCTGGGACACAGCCCCAGTGGTTTGGCATAATGAACTGGCACATTCCCTGCTGGTTTGTCAGGCTGAGGTAGGCTGAGGACAGCTCAGAAATACGTGAGAAAAGAAGCATTTGGAAAAAAGCACGAAGATCAGGATAGTAAAAAGGTAGGATATGCTCTCTTGGTGTATCACCCTTAGCTTTTGGCAGTATCTGAAAATCTGGACTTCTATTTGAGTACAAATCCAAAAGTTAAGGGCTCATTTTGAGATCACATATAGCTGGTAGGATTAGTTTTTGGAAGTGGAGGATGCACCTTTCAATAGCTGCTTCACAGTGAATACACTTAAACTCATCATGAACTGCATCTCCAACTCAGCACTGACGTTAGCCATCAACATGAATATATTTTCCTTGTTTCTTCTGATTTAGTATGATTATTTCAGAAGTGTTTTCTGTAGAAACATTTTGAGCAAAAATTTCGTTCTGCATACAGAATTGATGCTATATGGTTGCTATTTTTTCTTTTGTCTTTACATTTTTTTTCTCTTACTGACCATGTATACCTGCATACTCATAACTCATTCTTCTTTTTTCCCTTCTCTTTGTATGGAAAGAAACTACAGAAGGCAGAGGTATGTGATAAAAGTAATGGAATGTATATTAGAAAACTCTGAAAATAGCTCTTCTTCTCTCTTGCTCATTTATATGCTATACAGAAATTACAGTGATGAATTACCATATTTTAAAGAATATTTGCTCAGATATATGAAACTGGTATTTATTCTATAAATTTGTTGCTTAAAATCCTGATTTCACTGGACTCAGTAGCAAAAGTAGCGTTTACTTCTGAGGTACGCAATCTTATTTAGGAAAACAGGAGAATATTTCCAATAAAAGAGACTGAAAATCTACTATTAGAGATAAAAGTGTTCTTGGGAGGCTGAGAATTGAATAATTAATATTAACATGATGTTCAGGAGCCTTCTGAGACAAATTCATTCCTGGAGCTTCTTTGCAGTTAAAAATACAACGCAGTTAAATTGCTATGCAACTGAAGAGCCCATTCTTTCCTGCCATCCTGCTTGATTGATTTGTAGCTAAAGCACAGTACTGTCTTCAGCACAGAGCTGGGCTTTCACCATTTTAAGCTTGTGGCCAAAACCCAAACAGTTTCTAGTGACTTGGGTTTGGCTCCTGGAAGACCATCTCCCTTTGATCAGTCATCTGCCTGGCAGATGGGTCTTCTGGGAAGGAGTTGGCTCCTTCCTCTCCCAGTGCCCCCAAATAAGAGGTTTTCACAAATTCCCCTGTTTTCTGCCTGTATCACTGCCTCCTGGTCCAAGCTGCTGCTTTGTTTGTTGCTGCTGCTACCCATTGTGCTTGTTCTCCATTTCCCCTGCCTGTGTAGTGCTTTCTCTGCCAGGCTCAAAATACTTGAAAAAAGCAGAAAAGCATTGCCAAGTGCTGGTTGTGTACTACAAGGTCAGATAGGTGGCAGGAACAGGAAGAAGGCAAAGCTATTGAAGTCAAGCCTTATGGAGAGGTTGGTGAGTAGGAAATGTCACCTGGCACAAGAAAAACAGCATTTCAGGGTTTGGTGCTGCTTAGTGGAACATGATGTATCTGTTAATGCAGACTAACATGGCCATCTTGTCACTCTACAGTGGATGCTTCAGTGTTGTCTGAGGACAGAGCAGCTAAATACAGAGACTGCCCCATGCATGTTTGCATTGGAGTCTTGGGGAATCCAACTTTTTCAAATTCCCTCATCTCTGGAAATCAGTATACGGACAGAGAGCTGTGAGGATGCAGTCACTCTGCAGCTGTGTCTGTCGGCATGGGCAGAGTGGAAACCAGCATGAGCTGAGGCTTTTGAAGGTGGTGGAGGATATTTCATAGTTGATGGAGATATTTAATAATTAAATCTCCATGCAGAAAATGAAGTTCTGTAGGCTGACTTCTAAATAGAATAATTGTGGATATGTACAAGGAGTGCTCCATAAAAACAGACATCCAGTGGAGTCTCCAGAGTGTCCTTTTTTTTTTTTTTCTTTTTCTAATAGTTTATGGTTACTCCTTAAAGATGAAAACAAGACATTGAGATATTTCTGAGCATTACATAAGGAATGATATTTGGTATAGCTAAGCAATGGAAACGTGTCAACTGAAAGTAATAAAAAGAGCCAATTGAGCCAATTTGCAAGAATTCTGCTGGCTGGGATAGCGTGGCTTAAACGGCACAGCCACATGGGAGAAGTTATTTCTGACAGAGTAGCGAGAGCAGTTTGCTGAAGGAACCCTGGGGAGCAGAGCTGCCCACGCTGAGTCAACTCCCAACACAGACATGTATCAGCTGAGGAATGGGACAGGAACTGAGACTGAGAGGCGTTAGAAGAGAGAGTGTGGAAGTACTGTGTTATACTAATGATTTATGTGCCTTGTAATTGCATATTTTAAATGCTTTAGGAGCATTAGAAATTCAGATATGGAATAAAGAGAGCCCAGTTCAGGTCTGTAGCTGGACACAATCTGAATGTGAATCAATCTTCTGATAAATGCGCATCTTAATAGGGGTAGACTGAAGCAAAAAGGCCTTGGGAAGTGCAAGGCTGAATAGATAATTAAGTTGCTGGTATTATGATACATCCAACTGTCAAAGTAGCTACTTGTACTAGGGAGGATTTTTCGACTTGATGGAAGTGTAACTGGAATATTTGCATGGCAGTTTTTCTGCTGGCAATGAATTTGTCATCTGCATAAATCATTGCATAGCTTGATTAGGACTTTCTAATGCATAGATAGTTTTATGCACCTTAACCAAGCTTCTGGTACTGGAAAAGAACAAACTATTGTCAGATATATGGGGCATTATTTTTGTGTGTCTTGGCAGATTGAGTCTACTGAGGTAGCTGAGAACCTCTGAAGCTGGCGTTATTTCCCGTGCACAAGAAAACAGTTAATAAACAAGGTTTTTCTCCTCCTGAGGTTTAAACAACTCAATTGGTTGCTATTCTTGAATTCAATAATGATCACAAAAATTAGATGGAAAGGATCTACCTCAGAAGGAAAAAAGCATTCACTTTTCCTGAGCTCCTTTTTGATGCAGGCATGCTATTCAGCTCAGGCTGCAGTGCTTGTACTGTACCTGGGGATGCTTTTTGCAATGAGCGCAATGGGCCATTTGGAATGTCTGAACGTAGTTGTTTGTCTCGAGAACCATAAACTATTCACTTTGAAAATTTTGATCAGAGTTTATCAGTGAAATGTTTCTTGTTTTCCCTTACCAAAACCACACAATCCACTTTTCTGCACATATAAGAAGCATGTGGGAATTTTCTCTCCAGATGGTTGAATTATGTATTAATAGGATTATTGCGTGCGGTTAACAGGTTTCCTCAAGGATCGCTATCCTTGCCTCTTTCTTTTAAACTAATGTTTGTGCATGTTTGTGTGTGTGCTAGTGCCTGTCATATATTCTGACTCTACGATGTTTATTATACTTTAGACAAATACCCCAGGGAGATTATGTAAAAAAGCCTGGAGAGGCCGACTCTTTTTATAGCGACATGCCTCCTGGAGTCAGCACAAACTCTGCATCTAGTTCTAAGAAGAGGTCTGCTTTTCTGTCGCATTTTCAGATTTCTACCTGTTCCATCACCCATTATTCCATTAGTCAGAACATTTCATTGTTTTGCAGCAGGTTTGATTCTTTCTTCTTTCTTTGTGGAATGTTTGAAATGGCATCCTTTGTGCTTTGATTACTGATTTTTCTCAGATGCTCTCAGATATTTATTACAATTAGGCCAGAATAAACAAGTTTTCCATTGCAAACCAATTTTCAGTTAATCAAATTTTCATCATCTCCCTGCTTGAGATTTGTTTTCAAGCAGACTGTCATAATAATTGCTGGTTCAGAAAAAAAAACCAAACGAAAAACAAACCCCACAACTTTCTTCGTCACGGTCATGTAATCAAAGAAAAGGAACACTGTCTTGCTTCAATAATAGTTATAAACATAAAATGTTCAATATAAATGTTATTTTTCTATATGTGTCAGTGTCATTAAGTCACTGAGTTGAACTGGATAATATTCTTGCTGTCTCACATTAAAGATGACGGTACTTGCATTTTATTCCACTTAATAGACTAATATACTAAATGGTCACCAACTGTTATCTTAAAAGATAATTCTACCAAGACTTTCAGTAGTTTGGTGCTTGCTCTTACAAGTAACCAAGGAGGGCACTAGGTTTTGCCCTTGATCAAATTTCATTAATCCTGTTATTATTCTAGTTACTTAAAAAAAGGGACAAGATTTTAAAATGGAAAAATCATTGAAAAGCATTGAAAGTGGTTTGTAATTTCTAAAGCCATTAGGTCATGATGCTCACTATCGCTCTGCAGTTAGAGATCCTTTAATTATGAAAATCTCCAGCTAGCACCTTAAAACAATTTACAGGAAGCACTGTGTTGTGGGAGGGATAGACAATCCTGAACTGCTTCATAAGAAAACCGCGATTCAGTTCTCAGTGCCTCACTGAGCAGTCTATAACCATGCAGCTGATGAAGCCATTTTCTTTGTTGTTTCAAAGAAAGTAATGCATGGAAGGGATATACTTGCAGTGGCATTTGCTATTTGGATATAGCAGCTTGATGTAATATGCAACTTCAGTCTATTATAATGAATATGTTTTTAGGAAAGCTGTAGCAGTGATTAATTAATGATTTCTAATTTTAAAATTCAGCTTTTTAGATGTGTGAGCGGATAAATTATTTTTTTCAGGGAGCAAGCATTAATCTTAAATGATGCACTGTTTGTGTTGGAGAATCTTTTCTCATCTGGGTAAATTTTGAAAAAAGTCTTGGGCAAGCAAGTTTTCATAGCTTTGTGTAAGCAGGTTCAAATACCAGTTAAGAAAAAAAAATTTCTTTTCCAGTGAATGTCATTTAATGTGTTTCTTCTTTCATTTAGTATCTGTGTTTCTTTTCATACTTCATTTCTTTCATGTGTCTCTGTTTATTATTTGTTCAAAAAAGCTAATGGTTTCTAAGGTCTGTCTGTACTAGAGAGTTTTGTTGTTCCCCACCACCAGTTCAGGTATGTTGTGCGCTGTCAAGTCTGGAAAAGTCTGACAAATACTCCATTAACATTGTGGTGGAGCTGACATAGTCTTTCCATGCAACTCTTTGAATGCCCAAAGTGCTATTTCCTGCCTTCTGAGCTGGTTTTGATTTGCTCCGTGTGCAGGTATGAATGGCATCTCTTGCAAGATGTTAAGAGTGACTGGGCCATTAGGTGCCTGGGTTTCTCCATGCTGGAAGGCACTATGAAGTGTTAGTTGGTTTTCAGGGGATGTTCAAGGATTAAGACATAACTTTATGATAAATCTTTTTATGAAACACCAGAACCAGTATATAGCAAGACATTCCTGAACCTGAAAACAGACCCTTAGGAGGAGAAAATGTTTAAAAAATCTGTCAGTGGATCTGTTGGTTCTCAGACCTTTCATGCTGTAATTAAGTTTAAATTGATGAAACCCTGGGCTTACTTCAGTGTGGTTGTGATTTAGCCTGGTTTTCTGGAAACTGAAGAGCATCTCTCAGATGCCTGCCCTCCAAGGAAAGCAGAGGCTGAAAAATGCAAGAGTATCCAAACTTAGAAACTACAAAAGTAGTTCCTTTAAGCAAAAGTTCTTTGTAATAAATAAGCCATCTATTCTGACCCGTTTTCAACTTCCTCTTGTTTTCTTCTCTTTTGGAAATAACTGTAGATCTCATGGCAAAGAGCTCAGCTGCAGCTCTAGTTCAATAGGAGGGAGCCTGCTGCAAAATCCCACATGTTGGACACCACCACACATATCTGTAGCTCTCAGAGGGAATACAAAAGGAAAGAAAAACTTCGGTTTGCAACAAGCACCTAGATACAATGACTGGTGTTTTGGCTTTGAGTTTAGCATTAGAAATACATAATGCAGTGACTGGCTGACAAAATATAACAATTCAAAATTAGCAAATATGAGTTATCCCTCCTCCACTGGAGCTACCAGCTGTGGGTGGGAGGACGCTCATCACAGATTCCTGAGCCCCTGAGGCTAGTAGCAGTGGGGTGAGGGAAGCAGTCCAGGCTTTCCTACAGCAGCACAGGGAGGGAGTGGGCAGCTTGTTGATGTAGGATGTAGTTGACTGCGAGATAAAAAAACCTTGAGATGAGCACAGTTGGAAGAGCATCTTTCAGCTACGAACTGGGGCAGAGCTGCAAACCCAAAGGAAATCTGGTGTGCGCTGGTGTTTGTGCTTTCCACAGCAGACGTGAGAGAAAGCAGTGCTGAAGCGCGGCTCTTGAATGTGGGCACGCCAAACCTCTGCAGGGACAGCTGCGAAGCATAACTGCAGCATTTAACCAGAACTCCTGGAGGCTCTGCTAGTGCAGACAGACCTTAGGCTGTGTTGTGTCACTGGCCTCGGGAATGTGACCCGCTGACCCGCTGAGCTAACACTGCTGTGAGCAACACCCTTAACAATAACCGCATATGAGCCCTCCTATTCCAGGTCAAATGGATTATCTCATTCCTGGAGTGAAAGGATCCCAGACACAAAACATATTTCAGACATTTGTGAAAATGGGAGGCCTAGGAGTAATTCTTGGCAAGGTAAGTGTGAACCTCTGTGCTTGCCACAGTGGAAACCAGCCTCTGCGCCACTGCTGCTCTGCTGAAAGTTTATCCGATCATGCCCCCTTAAAATTGTGCTAATTGTTATTAACCTGGAATTAGGTTTCAGCGGCACCCTACGCAAGTACTTTTTTTGCACTATGCTTTATGATGTAGAAATGACATTTCTCCCATTCCTCTAGTGTAAGCTAACATGAAAAAGAGGAGGAAGTCTATTTACACTCTTGCTGGCTTCTGTGATTTTGTCAGGAAGTGTTTAGTATTCTCTAAGTGTAGTGATTTTCTCAAATGAAAGCTGAAATTAAGGAATTTATTGCTCTGCACAGTTGCAGTGAAAAGTAGAGAAAGATCATCTAAGTGTTAGGTTTAGCTGGTCTGAGATAAATCAAGAGGGACTGACCTGTGACTTTTAAATGGTTAAAGCTAATGAGGTAATGACTCTTTTGCTGGGGATGCGAAAAGAATATACAGCTTGGCATGGGATGCAGGTGAGTTTCAAGTTGTTTTACTGTCTGTCTTTATCCTTTGATTTCTTTCAGGTAATATAGGAGGAAACAGAAAGAAAGTCAGAGGCAAAAGATTTAGGCCACGGTCTAATTCAACTGAGTAAGTCTGAACTTATAAAAGCAAAGCCAAAAAATACAGTTTTCATATTTGTGTTTTGTAGAAGGAGATTAAGAGTACTGAGAAGTAGACAGCTGCATTATTTCTCTGTGGCCCATTTTGTTTGCTGATTGATAATCCAGTAAATGGTTTGGCTAATGTATTTCAACTTCTTTTTATGTATTATTTAAAAATTAACTATCAATTTTCTTTTTTATGTAGGCTTCCTCCCAGTCGTTCCCATAGCAATTCCCAATGATGGTGGCAGCCTGCACCATCACTGCAGGCTTTTGTCTACAGTAAACTGCCATTGCTGAGTGTATCCTGGTTCAATACTGAATTTCTGATAACCTGTTTCCTACCATTGTCTTCACCTTGGGTTGGGCCGTTGCAGAGTTAGAGACTTATATCTCTGTGTACCTGCCTGGAGGTTTTAGCAGAGATACCTGTCTGCTTTAAGAGTACCCTTAAGTTTATCCTTGTAAGCCTGAAACAGCCAGTCTTGAGTAAGCTCTGCAATAAATGGGTAATGAGAATCCTTACCAAGCAGCTGATCCCCAGGCTTTTCCAAGATGACTTAGAGTTTCTTTCTTATTGATTTATTGGTTATATTTACCGAAGAGCCCATGTATACAGTGTTCCCCGTAGAGAAAGAGCCCGTCTTATGTACTTTAGCCTGCTGGTTGAGGCTTCTTTTGTGAATGAATAGTGAATGGTTGAAAACATAACCTCTAGGCTTGTCAAGTACTGGCCTGCTCTTACAGCACTTATGCCACATGAGAATGGCCCTTTCTTGGATCACAGTGGTGATGACAGTGCCATTTCCCCATTTCCCCATATCACTGATACTAACTTGCACCTGTAAGGGCAAATGGGCTTCATACCAACCCTGCTGGTACTAATAATGCTAACTCCTTTGTGGGCCCTGCTTTCTTCCGTTTGGGGATTTTCAGTTTGTTCTGAAACTTTCCTTCTACCTGTGGTGCACTGTCTTGAGGTGAGTAGGCTCAGAAAGGTTCATAGACAATACCCTCTGTTACAAGTTACAGCAAAAATAGTTTGATGCACATTGCAATTAAAACATTGCGTGGTCAAAATGGCAATATGGAACCAGAAATTTTAGCCCTAGATCCCTTGGAGGAATTTATCTGTCAAGTGCCCCTGTGCTCTTGGTCTGTATGCTGATAAACTCTTACTGAAATGTTATTTTGCTCATTTTCTTTTCTCCTTGCATGAGACATTTTGATGAAAGCAAAATAAGTCTGACCAAACTACCAAGAGTACAAATAAGATTGCACATTCTTCTTTAAAAACATGTCCTATGCTTTCCTTAATTTTCCAATTCTATTTTTTAAACAAAATTCGTTAAAAAAGAGGTTTAAATTAATGAAATGATTATTCTGTCATTCAGCAGAGGTGTACACTGAGACTGAATCAGTCCATAAAGCATGAAACCAGATCAGCTCTTTTTATCCTAAAGCAAATGTAACTATGTGGGAAGAATATTGTTTTCCATAAAAGCAAAAAAGCCCAGTGGGTATATTGTTTCATCTGTGCTGCTCAGCTGGTATATTATACATTTGCTCTGAGAACCTTGGAGCACTAAACAAGTATGTAGACAGAGAGAGTGTAAGTTGGGAATCTTTTTCCCTGTAATTTTCTTTTTCTCTTTTAAAGGTGATCCTGAATTTCCACCTAATTCTCTGCTTTCCTTCTTGCTGCTTGTTACGGCCTCTCAGCCCAGCAGCAGCCCTGGTGCTGGATTGAGGCAGCTTGTACTTCCCAAGGGCTATGCAGCAGGCTGTTAGGGATGAAGCACAGTGTGTGGGCTCCTGGGAGAGACCTGCCAGGCAGGAAAATGCTCTGTCTCCTGATGGGGTCTATCCTGGACTGCATGGGACCATGTGGCTTGTCTGAGTCTCCTTGGCAAGCCTGTCATCCCTTGGAGAGAGATCTCCCACTGAATGATCCATGTGCTGTGTCAGTTTGGTGGGAAATGGAGAAGATTGCTGAGGGTGCAGAGTGGCCTTGGTTAGAGGGATAACTTCCTTTGTGAGCAGAGAAAATTGACTGATAATGATCTAACCGTGCCCAGCATTTACTCATTTAGGAAAACAAAAAGCAATGCTAGCTGCTTTGAGGATGCCTCAGAATACATGGAGGCTTTTTCCAGACAAATTTACCTTCTTACCTTCTCTGTGAAACACAGAAGAATATTGAAATCTGCTCTGAAACAATGGATGGCATTTGGAAAATCCAACTGTGTGGCCCTTGGTTGTCCAATGAAGCATACCCGTTGAGATGGAAGAAAAGGGGTAACACTGTTGGAGACAGTGTAGTTAACCACTAGAAAATGGGGATCATTTGTGCCATACCTTGTGCAGAATTAACTTTTTAAGCAGGTGCGCACTAGTACAGTTGCCTACAAAATTATTTGACATATGCATGAGTCTGCAGTAACTGCACATATTACGCACAAGATTTCTTGTTTTATACATCCAAGCACCAGACAGAGACTCATGCCATTAATTGTTTAAGCAAAATTTCTTAAGTACTGAGCAAGGTCTGAGCCTTGCAGCCCTCACGAGCAGCACTGACAGCAGGGGTGCAAGCATGTTGGGCAGTTCCTGAAAAATGGACAGCTCATACTTTTGTGCAACTGCTTGTACCTCAGAGGTACATGAACAAGTCTTCTGCTGAGGCTATAGTTCTATGGAGACTGCTAAAGCTCTTTTGGGATGTTTTTAATTGTTTCTAGATGTTTTAAGACACACTTAGTTCTCTTTACTAAAAGCAGATGGTTCAGTTCACGCAGAAGGAATGCCAACAGGCTGAATGTTTCTGCAGGTTTTTCAGAAGCAGGGTTGATGAAATGGCCTGATAAAACAGGATTTCTATTAAAATCAACTAGACTTACCCAGGAATGATAATGAGAGTTTTCTGAATAAGCTGACAGTTTAATTGGGAACTTGTGTTAAAACGGGTCCCAGGGACCATGCGTTTTGCCAAATAGTGGTTCTGACCTTTGTTAATTTGTACTGCTTTTCCTATGAGCATTTGTCTTCCTCATTGTTGTAACTGATACAAACATCTCTGGCTTAGACTTTCTATTATATATTGTCTTTTTGCAGCAGGGTAACCCATGCATCTGAGCCTGGGCTTTCTCTCGCCCACCAAAACCCGGCCCAAGGCATAAGCCCAGGGGGTTCTGATCACCCCCAAACAGGGAGTCGGGATCACAGGTCAGTCTCACCTGCCCCTGCATTCTGGGCTGCCATTTTATCCCGTGAAAAGTCCTTTCCCTCAGTATACAGTAGTTTCACTGTGGCAAAACACCGTGACTGCTTGGAGGTGCTCCTGCTGATGCAGCGCTAGCTAACTTTCCTCCTCGCCAGCCTGAGGAGTATGAGTACTCTTGAGCCCAGGTCTTTTGCCTTGTTGCATGTTGCGCTACAAGCCAAATGGAGCTGTTGGTTTAGCTGTAGGCTTACATGTAAGGACACCTGTTTTAAAGTGGAATTTCGGAAAGAAAATGTGTGTTCTCGCCACGACTAAGAAACATGTGGCTGGGAAAATCAGCCTGAAGCCTTTCTAATGGTCTCACATAGTGGTCTGCAGTAACTGGAGTTTAACTTTTCTGTAACAGATGAATTGAGTTGGTGAATGATGGTCTGTAATATAACCAGACCCAAGAAACCCTGCAACATGATTGTGCAACAGCTGCATGCTTTGATACCACGTTACACTTTGTTTTCTAATACAGGAAGCCAGATCGGGAGTGTTTCATGGTTACCAAAAGACCCTTTCAAATATAAAAAAAAGCAAGTCAAAAGTACTGCAGCGAGTACTAGAAAATGTGTAGTCACACCTACAATTAAAGCTAAAGCAGAAGTTTATTAGTTCCTGGTGATGCTGCTTCATCAGCCTCTTGCTTCACTGGTGGTTCCATCATTGCTGCGCTACCACTTTTGACGTTTTCTTTCCCT